AGGTACAAAAAGAGGGGGAAGGTGGTGGCAACATGGTTTGTTTCTCTGCCAGGGTCCCTGGCGGAGGCTTCTGGCCCCTCCAGCTGCCCCACAAGAACTCCTCCCCTTGGCTGGGTCTTAGTCTTGCCTGCACCTGGAAATGATGCTTACCAGGCCCCAACTGATGAGCCTCACAGGGAAATTGCTCTTGAAACATGCATGTGCTTTTAGATTATTTGTGCATTTTGAGACCACATTCCTATGTATGACCTACTGGTGTATTACTGTGAATCGGAATATAGTTTTATAATCCAGATTATTAGTTTAGAATGTACATTTTAAGTTTGGCGTAATAGTGTTTAAATTATTTTACAATACACAATAAGCACTAAATTTTACCATATTTCTTATAACTTTCATTAGGTATGTTAGCTGAGGTTTATTAGATACTGATTATATATATTTTAAAATAATAATGAAAAGGTTACTAAATACACTGATGTTATTTCATAAAAATTAGTAAGAAATAATAGTGTTACTTTATTCTTGTTCTTTATTTTGTAGATTCTTTGACAGTAGCTGCATATCCTCTCAGATTCCCCTCCTCACCACCATCAGGTAGGTTTCCTGATGTCAAATAATGCAGAACCTGGACTACCACGCACTATTTGTCGGAATACATACATAAGACACCTGATTGTCAAAGAGGTGTAATAGGTCTGATTTTTTGTGTTATAGTTTGTAAGTGTCCCAGGTTGTTAGTTCTTATGCTATCCAGAAGGGTTCTTGCTATCTTTTACAAATTTTCTTTCCCACTAGGCACAACACCAATACTGGGCGATGGCTGACCAGGTTCCGAGCCGTGTGGGACCCTAAGCAGGAAGACTGTGTCATAGTGGGCAGCATGGCCTATCCGCGGCAGGTGGCAGTCTTCCACCAGACAGGGGAGCAGGTGCACTCTTTTCTTGGTGGAGAACGCCTGGCTTCTGTGTGCTCCATCAACGCGATGCATCCCACTCGGTATATTTTAGCTGGAGGTAATTCCAGTGGGAAGATCCACGTTTTTATGAATTAAGAAAGTTGCTGGGGTTTTGCATTAGCAGTACTAATTTGTTCAAATTAATTGGTGTCTATTTAGCAAAGGTAAATTGTTTTATTAATAGGAACTATGAGCAGAATGTACTTTTAGTGAAGGAGGAACCTTGGTTATTTCTACGGGTTGGGGGAAAATTTTGAGGGAGGCTGCGATGCCTTCAGCACTTTAATCAGGCAGTTTGTTGAGAAGCTGTAACATTAATAGTTATAAAGTTTTGAGTGATGAGTATTAAAAACTTTTGTGTTCTAATAATTTGGTTTTTTAAAAATTTATTGGGGTGACATTAGTTCATAATAACATTATGTAAATTTCAGGCATACATTTTCATACTACTACATTGGTATATACTCTGTTGTGTGCCCACCATCTGAAGTCTGGTCTCCTGTGTCACCATATATTTTACCCCCTTGGCTTTCTTTGCCCTTCCCCAACCCCTCTTCTCTGATAACCACCATTCTGTTGTCTATATATGAGGCTTTTTGTTCGTTTGTTGTCTTTTTATTTTATTTTAAATATACATTTTTATTGATAAAAGAGAGGAAGGGAGAGGGAGAAAGACAAACATCAATGATGAGAGAGAATCATTGATTGGCTGCTTCCTGCACGCCTCCTACTGGGGATTGAGCCCCCACCCGGGGCACGTGTCCTTGACTGGAATCGAACCTGGGACCCTTCAGTCTGCAGGCCGATGCTCTGTCCACTGAGCAAAATGAGCTGGAGCTGTTTATTGCCTTTTTTTTTGGGGGGGCGGGGGGGAGAGGTATGCTTTATTTTTATTTTTGCTTAAATAAGAACAATGCAACATTCCATATTCCCTTTTCCTACCTTTGGGAATTGATATAGATTTGCTGGGGCCAAAACCTAACATTATGTCGACTTATTGCTGATGGCTAATTGCCAGTGTTAGGGACAGAAAAACCTCCATTGCTACCAAAGGGTTGCAAGCTTCAGACATCTGTGGAACTGCTGCTACCACATCACGGTTTAGGATTCATTCAGTGCTTAACAGATGAGGCTTCTTGCACTTCACAAACAAGCTGGTGGTAAACAAGATGTACTGATTTCAACTAGAAAATGTTAAACCACAGTAACATAGCTCATGTTATACTTGTATCATGTAACTTAAGCTCCAGTTCTTTCTTTGGATCCTCAGCTAGCGGGTTAACAGCGTATTGGACAATGGCCAGATCTTGCAGTTGAGCATCATTCACGAGCCTTGTGTGCAATTGGGCCAATTCATCTTTAAATTGTTTTGTTTCTTGGCAACATGCGGTTCTTTATCTTTAAGCATGCCATATTCTGTAGTTATTTTGATTCCAATTGCAAGTGGCATTCAGCTTTGTAAATCCCACTGGTACCTTTTGTCTATGTGTTGGTAACTTTGAGGATAAAGTGAGACATGGTATAAGTTAAAAAAGAGTCCACTCTTCTATGATATTTAAATATTTATTTAAGTTTAAAAATAATTTTCATGGCACCAATGATTTTATGCTAACTACATACGGAATAGGTAGAAAAAAGTACATTGCTTTGAAGGAGAATGTAACTTAGAATTTTTGGCACACGAAAGTTTAGCAACTATATATATTTTTAATGAAACTAAGAAATTCACATTTGCAGGTAGTTTACCGTCTACTGCTTAAAGATGCAGCACACTATTTGTTAGTAAGAGTTTTATTTCCTCTGGTAGATGAAGCCATGGAAACCATTGCTTTTTCTACAGTGAGATCAAACTAAGAGGAAATGGGAGACATAGTGGAGCACAGAAAAAGCAGGTTAAAAACTTGAGCAATTTTTAATGATGAGGAGATACCAAAAAAGATTAGTCACCAACAAAGGAGGTTTGCTACTCAAGCATTATTTGAAAAGCAAATTGAAGGAAACTTTTCTATATGTATTTTCTGGGATAAGCCCTGGGAAAAAAAGAACCTGAAAGATTCTATTCAGAGAGGAAAAATTCGGAATTGGTATGGACTATTGTACTGTTAGAACTCTGGACACAAGTAACGTACCAGGAACTGGGACACTGCGTCTTTCTTCAATGTGGATATGAATGGTCAGAGTCGAGGCTATCCCTCACTGCATAGAAACGCCGTATTCTACAGACTGAGGTAGGAACACTACACTAAAAGGTAATCTGCTCTGGTGCATAAGACAGTAGATATCCATGTTAAAACCAGCCTGCTATCTCCCGACAGCTTTTTCATCCTTAAGTCTTTTTTTTTTTTTTTTTTTGCTTTAGTTCTGTACTAAAGAAAGCCTTCCCTGTATAGATGCTAAGTGGCAGTGGCTCCTTGATGCTAAGTGATCCCCCTAATCTTTCCTAGGATCTCCCTCAGTTTGTCTTGTGACTTGGTAAATAGATGTTTGTAATCCTGCCCAGATTGCTGCTGGTATGGAAATGATGAGAGAAGCCCTCTTCCATTCTTAGCCTCTGGCTGTGTTTCAGCATCCCGGTTCTTGGCCTTGCACATCTTGGCCTCAGACCTCTCTTTGCTGGTTGGTTGTGCGAGCACCCTTTAAACAAGCAAGCCCGGTGCCTCCGCTGGGAAGCGGTCCTGGATCCTGAGCACGTGCCAGGGACGGGAGCAGAGCCGACCTGCTTTCTGCTAACATCGTGGTCTTATTGTATAGATGAGGGCTGGCGAGTTATGGCTTGTGGGCCAAATTCAGCTCACTCCCTTTTTATAAATGAAAAGCTTTCTTGGAACACAGCCATGTTCCTTCATTTAAGTATTACCTTTGGCTGTTTTTGTGCTACGACGGCAGACTTCAATAGCTGCCGTAGACTATGGCCCACAAAACAAAAACAAAACAAAAAATTACCATCTGGCACCTTGAAGAAGCAGCTTACCAAACTTGGTCTAGATGAATGGACATTTAAAATTATATACCTCCTCCACATCTTCCCCCTTCTCCCCAAAAAAGGAAAACCCTATTTATTCCAAGGCTGTTTGCATTCTATACATGGACATGATTCTGCCAACTCAGGGGACAAACGAGGGACGAGCAGACCTAACAGTGACTCACTCTGTTCTGCATTTGGGGCTGCCCAGCACCTTATGGCAGTTGCTCCATTGTTGTGTGGGTCCCAGGAACTGTCCACTGACCATCTGCTGCAGATGTGGAGGCCCCTGGGACAGGGGCATGGCTGGCCTCAGGCTCCTCCTCCTCAATGCTGCAGACCCCAGGTGACTCAGACATGTCTCCCTGAGATGAAACAAGCTCTTGTGTGTGAGGGTGTGTAATAGTTGCCGAGCTTGGGCCTCGGACACCACACTCACCCTTTCCTGCTGCGCTTCCACCGCTTCCCTCGCCAAGGATGGCAGGCGCTCTTTCCTACAACTAATTTCTATTTTTCTGATGCCGAGGCGGCCCCTAGGGGGCAGTATTTCTACGTCTAAGTGTTGGTCTCTGCCGCGTTCACCTTCTCAGCAGGCATCTCGTAGAACTCCTATTTAAAGAGATTATTTTACTGGTTCCTTCCAAGGCTGTTTGTTGATCTTGGAATTCTATTTTCTGAAGCTTCTCATTCTCAGGATCAGTTTCTTTCTTGCATCGTTTAGTTCATCAGGCTCTATTTTCTTAATCCATATAGTAAAAACAAAATATGAATTGATAAGAAAATAACATTTTGTTGTTAAAATATATGTTGAAATAGTCTTTTAGTATTTTGTCTTTTTGCGGGGGGTTGTACAAAATAAGCACTGCTCTCTGAATCTCAACAGTCTCTCAGGTACCTTAGCTCTGGTTTCTGTTAACTGCGTTTTGTCTAACATTTCTGACAGTCCTATGACTGGGACGACTCACTTCATCTAGTGTCTCTGGCGCACTATAAAAGTCTTGAGGTTCTTCCAGGAAAAAAAAAAAAAAATCACAGAAATCAAGTTCATTATACAAAGCTCATGGTGACGCCCACTAGGATCTAGTCTAAGGGGACAGACTTACCCCACCCCTGCTGCCGCTGCTGCTGTAGCGGTGGTCCCTTCAGATGCCCACTCTGCTCAGATTTGAAAAAAAACAAAAACAAAAGGAAAAGAAAATCCAACTCAGACCATCATAAGAAGCAACTTTTCATTTAATCGTTCTACATGGATGTTTACTTTTTTTAAAAAAAGCTCTGTCTGGCCAGAAAACTTAGGCGTATTCACTGTCCAGACCCCGGGTCTGCCCCGCTGAGGCTGCCGCGATGAGCCTGCTGGAGCCCAGTAGGAAAGCTCCTGCAGAAGACAGAAGACGACAGCTCTCTAGGCTTCAGCTAGTGTCCCATCTGGTGTCACTTCAGCGAGGTGACACTACCGTGGTAATCAGTCATAGTAAAATAAATTATTTTTATTTGATACTTTCAAAATAATACACATCTATGAAAAAAATCAAAATTCAAAGCCAAAAGTTATCCTGCATATTGGGGAGGATGAGAAACGGAGTCGCCGAGCCTTTCTCGAGAGGACCTCTGAAGGAAATGAGCTTCCCCAGTTTGTGTAGACAGGCCAGGAGCCCGTCCCCTTCTGCTCCTGGGAAACAAGCCTCCCAGGCTGCGGACTTTTGAGTCATGAAAGGAGGACGTGGTGCATGTGCCGATGGTTCCGCGATGGGTCCCATTGCTGGGAAGGGGTAGCCGGGCTCCGGGGTCCACCTGGCTAGTTATTGGGAGGAGTCCTGTCTTCTCAGGTGTCAATGAGCAGGCTCACCACGGAGCGGATTTTGCAGGCAAACCATCGCCTGAGGGGACAAAAGTATTGATAGTGGAACTGTTCGAACTCGGGGGTCTGACGGATATCTCGGAAAAAGGCAATGTCAAGGTCAGACTCGGTAAGGATGATCAGGAGGAGGAGCAAAACAAAGAGGAGTCCCATGGTCACAAGGAGCAAACGGAGGACACTTAAAACAAACTTATTCACCTGTTCCTCCTCCGGCCTGCCGTGCCCCTGACACAGGGCCCTCAGCTCTCCCCCGAGGGCCTCCACCTCGGCAGCCGTGGGGGTGCCGGCCTCGGACTCCTTCTCCTCCTCGATGCTGCAGGTGGCCCCGTTGATCTGCCGGGACAGCAGCATCAGCTCCAGGCTGTGCTCGGCCACGGGGGTGGGCAGCATGCTGTCTGCGGGGCTGTAGGCCTCGTCTGCGATCACGGCGACTCGCTCGTTGCTGTCTGCCCGGCTGCTTCTCACGTGAGGCAGGAAGGCGTCCCCGTGGGAGGAGGAACGCACGGGGGTGGAATGGGCGCTGTCCCGGAGGGACTCGAGGCCTGGGGAGGCAAAAGGAGCGTGAGTAGGCCTTCTGTATCAGCGCACACTTGTTTTTCTTTCTGTTCATAGTTTTGGCCACATTTGTTAAAGATGGTGCCATTCTGGCCTTTGTGTCCTGGGCCTGGTTTTAGCCCCGATGGGAAAGAGGCTGAATGGCAGACTATCCCTGATGGAGAGCTGGGGCCGCTGTTCAGGGAGCTCAGGGATGCCTCTTGGCCTGAGGGCCCCGAGAGGCAGGAGTGGGGAGGAGAAGACTGTTGTGCCTGGGCCTCGTCTAATGCTGATTCTGGAGCTGAGCGTCCTTTGAACAGCCTAGCGCACAGCTCCCCGAGCTCACGAGGCATCTTTTCTGCAGTTGCTATCGGTGTCTTCAGCCTCCCAGCTCTCTGTCCTGCCCCAGTGGAACAGGAAAACCCCATCTGCTCTCCCTGAGTGCTCTCTGGTGGGGACGGCCAGCTTCCCCTCTTTTCACCTGAGGATGACCTGGGTCCAGAATAGGCCGAGTCCCTATTTCAGACAATCCGGAGTGCAGAAGAGCGAACTTTGGAGGAGGGGGGAAATTCTCTTACATTTTTTTAGGAGGAAGGGTCTGTGGCCCCTAAAGCTACCCATTATCTCTTTATTTTCCCGGATGGAGCATTTCTTTCCAGGGTACAAGCTCTGGTAGGGAAAAACAGGAGCCAGTTACTCCTGCACCCCAGCAGCCCAGAGGCTATGGGCTCAGAGTCCCCGGAGGCTCACATCACAGTGCTAAGGAGGGGACTGCAACCTGTTTCAGGCTCAACATCTGCATTTCCCACTCCTGGCCGTCTTGGCGGTGCCAGAGTAGCTCTCCCTGCCGTGGTGGCCCATGACAAGAGAAGCCAGTCCCCTTCTGTTGCTCTGAAATGGACTCTCAGTGCCCCAGACAGGGAAAGGTTTGGCCTAACAGCTGATGGGGTTTTCTGGTCCAGGGCTAGTTCAGAAGCCCAACGGTCTCCTTGTGGCCCTAGCTGTATTTTCTTTGTTCCTATGCTAAAATCTTAAATTCGTATAATGCCTTAAACTCTTAAAGCACTGCCATTTTATCTTTTAACAACCCCATGAAGTAGTGAGGGTGAGAGGTTACGGAACTTTCCTAAAGTCTGGTTGGTTGCTAATGGCAAAGGCAAGGGGAGAATCCAAGCATCTTTCTAGTTGATGGTGCTAATGAAATCCATGCAGTTGGATTATGGGGAGTGGGGCAGTGGGCAGGATGAATTAGTAAGTCAACAGCCGGCACCTTCCTTAGATTTAGGTCCTAACTGTCCCAGAAACTGTTCTTCAATAATGTGACATTAAGAGCCCGTTCCTGTTCCTGACGCTCCTTTGGTCTCTGCCTCCCCAGCATTCCTCCCCGATCTTCCCTGTCCGCGCGCAGCCTGAGGAATAGGTACCCACGAGTGTGTGTGGGATCCCCGATAAAACAGAAACCTTCAGGCCCTCATTACACATGGTGCTGGCTAAGCTCCTTCCCCAGACACTCCTCTGGCCCCCTTTTCTCTGGAGCCTCAGCCCCGCTGCACAGGGCACCTCACACCCTTTCCTGGGGCTGCCCCCTCAAGGACAGCGCTGACTGCCAGAGGCTGACCAGCTTAGCAACCAGAAGCCACTTCAGTGCACGCTTAGCCTGGCCTGCAGATTAGCCCTAAGCCGGGGCAGGAGAGAGGCAAAGTCTGTGACATCAGAAAGCACGAATTAGGACACCAGCAGCCACATTATACTGAGTTGTTGGTGCTCTCAGAAAACAAGATAATGGACATGTATGCATTTCTAGTAATGTCTGACACAGAGTTACTCCGTAAATGTTAGTCGTCTGTTCCCTCACCAGACCTCACCCGTGTCATCCCTCTGCCAGGTTAGTTCTGTACAGACTTCAGGTGTCAACTGTCAACCACCACCTGCCTTGCCCCTCCATCAAACCTCTTATTCTGGGGGGATAGGGTGGGTGGGATCTGGGCGAGTGGCACAGCACAGCAGAGAACTGCTTTGTTACCTTGGAGGTGCTGCAGCTGATCGCCTTGCCCAGAGGCGGCGCCCAGAGGGCTGGGGGGCACAGCGGTCAGGAGCCTGCCCTGCAGCCGGGGCCCCATCCTCAGGACGCGCACGCTCAGGGGCCGGAGGCAGTGATTAGTCAGCCGGAGCTCCACGCGGACTCGGGTGTGAATCTTAATCAGACTCTTCCCCATGGCAGCCCCGGAAAGCCGATGCCTCTTCCGTGGGAACCAGCCGGGCAGGGAGGGACGGAGGGACGGACGGAAACCCCGCCGGGACAGGAGATGGGTGCTGATCTCAGCCCATGGCAGCCCCTTCGCGGAGCCTCCCGGGCTGGCGGGAGGTCGGCTCCATGAGCCGCAGAGCAGCTGAGCTGCTGGGAAGGAGCAGCTCAAGAGGCGCATGTTATCAGGGACGGGGTTCAGTCAGAAGCACTTAGAGCCATAAAAAGTCATGCTTCCCAGCCTGCAGCTGGTTCCCTGAGGCCCGTGTTAGGGCCACGGGCCTCTCAGAGGGTGACAGGCAGAGAGGGCAGGGAACGGTGCCGAGGGCAGGGCCATCGGGCTGTGCAGAAAATTCAGGGCTTGAAGCCACACAGACACCGGCTTTGGCTGAGTGGCTCTGACGTGCGAGGAAGCGGCTCTGGCTGGCAATGGGCTGTGTCCCATCCTGCCCTGGGATGAACCTGGTGGCCTCAGCCTCAGGATGGACGGGGAGAGGGGACACATAGGAGGAAAAAAGTTATATTTCCTCAAAAGAGGGGGAGAAAATCCCTCCACTTTCCTGAGGGAACACCCAAAAGAAGAGGGACCGGGGGAGCCGCACTCCGTTCTGCTCAGCCTCACGGGGGGAGAGACTCAGGCTGTTGTGTCTGATGACGGAGCTCAGTAACTCCACACCTTGCGTAGCGATTGTATGTGGGTAGTTTGTAAGGCACCTTCCACATTCACAGCCCACTGTACGGGGGGGCAGCAACATGGAGGGTAAACCCCCGCCCCAGAGAGCCCACGGCTGAGCTCTGCTGAAACCTCTTCCTGGCCTTCCTGCCCAGGCTCTGCGCCGGGCGCGCTGCCCGCCCAGCGTGCTCTGGCACCCCCACCCCCCACCCCCCAGCTTCCCTGCAGCCACAGCTAGGAAGGTGCCCCTTGTTTACAAACGGGACAACAAAGACTCCGACGATGAAGGCTCTTGGTGGTGGCTGCCCAGCCAGGTTCTCAGCCCCCAGAGAACCAGGCTCCGGTGATGCAGAGTCACTGACCCAAACCAGAGGTCCTCCCTGAGAGAGACGTCCTTTCTAACTTGGTTTTCACTAACAAGCAGCAGCCTTCGCTCAGAAAAGACAAAGGGCCTCCCCTGCCCAGCCTCCAAGACAGAAACAAGTTTGAAATAATCCTGCTGCTTGAGCTCTGAGGTCCTACAAACCGTCCTCATCGGGAATGGGAAGTGTACGCCTGCATCCAGCCTGCAGGGCCAGATGGGCAGGAGCAGCAGCAGGAAGGCACGGTTCCTAGTCTACCACCACTAAGTACCCACACACGGGAGCGATGTCCCTCAGGCTGCTGGGGTATCTAGTTCTGAAGATACACAGACTTTGTCTCTCTACCTCCACGTACTCCAAAGGGGGAGAAGGGCTGAGAGAGATGGGCATGTTGGGTTTCCTAAGATAATGTTAAAGAATTCAGAGAGCAAGAGGGCGGGCTTCTACCACTGAAGTGGAGGTGGTAGCAGTTATTGGAATGCTTCAGAACCAAGAGTTTTGTTTTTTGGTTCACTGCCCCAGGCCTCTCTGATCACTTAAGCTGTGGAGATGGGTCAGATCCAGAAAATAAGTGAAAAGCCTCTGGATGGAAAGCAATGTTTCCCAAAGGTCTACCCCAGATAAGCTCAGGTCTACACTCTCCTGGGTTAGACAGCTCAGCGGGGCTGGGGGAGGGGGACCCCCTTTCCCCTGACATCCAGCCTGCGTGCCCCTCCGCTGGGTGAAACTGCCTCCCTGCCACCGGAGAAACTTGCTGCTGTGTCCAGAGCAAACTCACTGCTTTTTAAGTCCCTGAGTGGAATTGGTCTAAGTCACAACTCGGAGAAATCTGTGGTCCTCTTGCCTTCTGTCTCCAGAGCTCATGCTTACCTTCCATAATGGAGATGTGAACAGCCCTTCTCCGGGTCCTGGGGACGCTGCTCAGCCGGGGGCCGTGGGTTATGGAGGGGCAGCTGCGGCTGGGAACCATCCCAGCTCTGAGAGCAAAGGGAAAGAACAGCTGAGTATGCAGGTTGCGGTGGTCAGGACTCTGAGTTGAGGAGGGGCTACTACAATTGTCTGGTCGTTGGAAGTTTTATTTATTTATTTATTTTTTTAAAATCTTTTAATACCTGCTTTTGGATCCCAGTCAAGAGATACACCTTATGCCCCACACCCACCAGAGCCTGCCCTTAGTGTGGCAATGGTGCCACTGGCTTCTGAGCAGGATGGTGCCCAGGGTAATCAGTTCGCCCCCGAAAATGGATATGGCAGCCGCCCTTGACTCCCATCAGCGGTGGCAGGGGCTCTGTGGAAAGGGCCAGGCAATGCTCCCACTCCCAGAGGTCAGGCTGGTGGACAGACGCTAGCTCTCTTGGCCAATCTTCTCTCTGGGTCTCCTGGGTTCTGGGAGACGGGCTCCTGGAAACGTCTGCACAGAGCATGATCTCTGAACCTGTGTACGAGGGGTGTGAGCGGGTGTGGGGCTATCCCTGGCTTTCGTAATGAATTGATTCCACAACCAGTGAAACCTTGCTGCTGGGACATGTCCTCCGTGGCGTATGACCAATTTCAGGGCCTGGGAGGACAGTACAGAATCACCCTGGAAGGTCCCCTGGATCTGACGTGCTGTCTGCATTGGCCCGCTCTCCCCGTTCTCCATCCCACCCGATGGCTCTCTTCACCGCTTCTGCCCTGTTCTCCTTCCCCCTGTGGAAGCCACTGTGGCCAGAACCTTCATGTTACTCCACCAGCTGGCTCTTTGGAAGTCCCGGGACCTGAGCTGGACTGCTTTTGGGGAAGCCCCTGGCAGCCTACCTGTGGATCTCGGGCGGCTCCCGTTTGATCTGGGCACTCGACTCCATGACTTCCTTTGCGACTCGGCCACTGGAGGAAGTATGATAATAAAACAGCAGCAAGAAGTGAGGCAGCGTCCCCGGACAGGGCTCCTCTCCAGGCTCTCAGATCACTGTGGCTGAACTGGGAAACGGCCTCTGGCCAACCCCTTCCCAGTGTTCAGGCCACCGAGAGAGAACTTTACCCCCGCACGCAAGCCTCAGATGCCCCGACAGCTGATCTTAGAGGGCCCTCTATCTCTGGAGTCCTTTGGCTCTTTCATTCTCATTTAGGAATGATTCCTCCTTGTCCAGGATGTTCCAAAAATATTGCAAAAAAAGAGAGAGAAATCTCTAGACAGACCTGAGAAGAATTACTGTTATAGTTCTTATTGTGCTCCTATTGTAAGGACAGAAGTACTCATTTAAAACCCTACAGACCCAGCTGCAGGCAGGGAAAGAACAAAGGGTGAGGAGACAGACTTTGATGGGAACCTCAGGCTTGTCTGGAGGTTTCCAGCTTCTTTGTTCTCAAGGGGAAGGACCACGGAGTCATTGTTCTGGAAGGAAGGGTCTGAAAATAGGTCCATAACGGTTACTTACGGTCACTATTTACCTGTATCGGAACCGGCTCCCTTTGAAGAATAAGTTGCTGCTGGACACGGTGCGGACTTGGCTCGACTTCTCCAGCCTGCAGCAAGGCAAAGCCCCGTGTGACAGGCGGCCTGCGACGTCTACGGGCCAAAGGGCGCCTTCCCAGCCGCTTCCACAGCAGGAAGCCCTCCCAGCCCTGCGGGTCTCTGCCTCTCCTTTGGGACTCGGGGGCCCTGTTCACGGCCTCAGTGCCAGGCACAGGCATATTGAACCACACTTTCTTGTTATTCCTCACCCGAGGATATTTTCCCATTGATGTTTTTTAGAGAGAGTGGGAGGGAGGGAGAGAGAGAGATATCATTAGTTGCCTCCCTCATGTCTCTGACCAGGGCCGGGGATCGATTCTGCAACTGAGATGTGTGCCCTTGGCCGGAATTAAACTGGGGATCCTTCAGTGCTTGGGCTGATGTTCCATCTATTGAGCCAAAGTGACTAGGGCTGAACCCCACTTTCATGTCAGCGTGAGGGGTTCACCTGGGAGACTGAAAGAATAAATGTTAGGGATGATGATCTGGGGGAATAATAGAAGGGCACCCACTGGATCTCAGCTAGGCAGAGTTTTTTTCTCTTTAGCCTCCGTCTTCTTACCTATACGCTAATGGAGCTGAGACTCTGTAGCCTCAGGAGACCTTTCCGGTCCTAGTATTTGGTGATTCGTGTTCATGACCGCCTTCCTATTCCATCTCTTTCCTGGAGAGCCTTGAAGTGTATTATCACAGTAAAGACTCTGAGAAGTCCTGGAATGCAGAAGCTAGCCTAACTTCAATAAAAGTCCATCACTGACTTAAACTTGGAACCATTCTCTCATCCCCAAAGCCCGTTCACCTCCCTCTCCAGGCTGTAGAAATAGTTGCCGTGGAGACTCAGGGAGGCCACGGGCACTGTAAAATGTCCTTTTGGGCGACTTCTCTGATCCCACTTAGAAAAGGAAGGGTAGGCAGAGCTGCTCAGAGTGAAGTCTTCCAAGACCCAACTCAGCCACAACCTGTCTGGGTGCCCACGCTGCTCCTCTGCCAGGGACCCAGCGAGGCCTGACGCCTCTGCCACGTGGGGGCCGTGAATAGTTAGGGAGCTGTCCCCACAGTCCGTGAACAGTTCCTGAGAGTCACCCGCCCACCTAGCTCAGCCCATTGCCCTCCTGCCCAGGCACATTCCTGAGCCCATCCTGGCTCCCTTCATAGCACTGGGCACTGGCAGGAATCTGCGAATGAGAGACGCTCAGAGGCCCAAGTAGCCGCTGCTAGACACTCGAGCATCTGGAGATCAGACCCTGGAGATCTGACTTCTAACACTAATTAGAACGGTGAGTAGCTAATGACAAACAGTGAAGAACGACCTCGGTGTCCACTGTGGGTGTTGGCAGGGCGAAGTAGGTCTGGAGGTCCATTAGTGGAAAGACTCAGAGCCCGAGTCTGGCCACAGGTTCAGAAGCACAGTTCTGTTCCCATGACACAGAGAGAAAAGTAAAGGCCTCCAGAAATGGTGCTGAAATGTCTGCTTGGCTTCCCTTGGATACCAGGGACTAAACAGGAGGGTCATGTTGACCATGCAAAAGTCTTTTCCAAGTGCCTTCTCTTAGACGAGAAGAATAAAGACAACTCAGGTCAGAATTCAGGCCATCCATTCAGTTCATCCCCTATTCTGTATCAGATGCATAGAACTTGTTCAGCAGTTCAGAAAGCCTGCCCAAGAAACAACGTCTGGGGCTGTGGTCACCGTAACAGGGAGGAGACCAGCTCTGCTGGCCAGCATCCCACAATAGCCAGTAGGTAGCAGAGTCTGCTCACTGGGAAGAAGGATGCTACCCCCACTTCCCCCCTACGCTGCTCTCTCCTCCGGTTACTGGAGGAAGAAGAACGGCCTATCCGGCAGAACACATACTATACCCTTTTGTCTTACGTCGTCCTGATTAAGATACAGCTTATTAAAGCATAAATCATTGCATTCTATTTTCAAAACAAGACCAAGGGTTTTGGTGAAACATACTCTATCTGGCATCACTCCAGTTTCTCAGTTGGCTATTTCTTTGCTCCCTAATACCTTTATGACCACTTTCTTAAAGAAAACCAAGCACAGCCCGGTCGTGGTGGCTCAGTGGTTGAGCACTGACCTATGAACCAGGAGGCCACAGTTTGATTCCCCGTTGCAGCTCATGCTAGGGTTGTGGGCTTGGTCCTCAGTAGGGGGGGCATGCAGGAGGCAGCCGATCAGTGATTCTCTCTCATCATTGATGTTTCTATCTCTCTTTCCCTCTCTGAAATCAATAAAAATATATTCTTTTAAGAAAAGAAAACTAAGCACAAACCCCTCAAATACTTGACAAAATTCTTTGGTAAGCAAAGATGCCCTTTGGTCCAAAGTGGGCTTCTCAGAACCAGACAAGTCCTTGGCCCCCTCCAGCTACCCCATCCCAGGCTCCTGGGCACCAAGCCCACCTATGGCACTGACACTCCAGGAAGGGCTAGAATCCATGCCAGCTTAGCACCAGGTCACTCCCTGGGGAATGGGCCCAGGGTCTCCCTAAGACTTCGGGAACTGCTCTGGGTGAGCCTGCTCCGCGGAGCTATTGTATGCTGAGCTGAATTAGGGCTCCGACCGGCTCCAGGGGGCCAGTTTGATTTGAGTCAGGCACCTTGGGCTTTTCCTGGTCAAAACCTCACTCTGAAAACCTACAACTGCGTTGGCACATAGGGCTGCCCACGGACATCACAACTGGGCAATTCTACTGAAACACATTTCCAGATCTCAGCTCCGTCCCTCCAGGGGGACACCCAGACCCCCGAAAAGGGGTCTGAGTTTTATAAGGAAGCTAGCCTCGTCATCTCACGTCGCATTTCTGAAAGCTTCCTGTCCATCATTCCTCTGAGAGCAGCTTTCCCCGCATTGGCTCTGATAATGACGTCCCATACCGTGTTGTCTACTCACTTGTAGAAGGCTTGGTTCTCAATCCCGCATTTCCAGAGGTGCTTGCAGGCTTCTGGAGTTGGAGCAAAATATGTGAGAATAATTTTCTTTTCCTACAAAAGAAGCCCCCACATAGAAACAGCTGAGTGGGGGTGGAGAAGTGAAGGGTGACGTAGACCAGGACACCGACCCACGAGCTGACTGGGGGCTGGCTCCCATGGCTCTCCCAGGCTGCAGATGGGGGAGGGGCTGCCTGGCTGCTGGCTAGTTGGAAGAGAAGGTCTGGGGACCCCGGGGCAGAGCTCAGTTGTGTAAGTTCACATCTGGGAGGGCCAGTGAGAAAGTCTCAGAACCAAGAAAGCCCTCACCAGAGAAGGTGGCACTCATTTAAAATGGTCCCTTTCTTCTTTAGTATTTATTCTCTTGGAGTTTTCATATGGAAGGAAAAGAATGTTATTCTGCATTTCCTGGAGGCATGGAACCAACCTCTGGGCTTCATCAGCATCCCTGAGGAAGCCCTGTGTACCAGGGCCTCACCCCCTCTCTCTCCCTCACCTCCAGGTCTGGACCTTGGTCTTACTTAGGGGCTTATAGCACTGCCTGGACGGAGCACTTTGGCTCAGCCCTGGCCGTCAGGAGCCATCCTGGTCCCCCAGCCTTCCCGGAAAGAAGGAAGCCGGCACTCACCTCTTTCTGACTTACATACAAGTAGAAAGTCTTCCCTTCAAATTTCAGCTTGGTCACCTCGTTCCTAGAAGCACAAAGACAGCAGCCGTCACCTCGCTGTGGGCTGCCTGCTCACAGTCCTGTCTTGCAGATGCACAGCCCACCCCAACTGGGAGGGGCTCCGGGCACAGACTCAGGTTTAGCCAAAATCAGAACTAAAACAGGACAGTAGGGCGAAGGCCTTAGAGAACAGTTGTTGAAACAGTTCAATCCACAGTTTTCTGGTCAGACTCTAACCGGGTGACGGGAGGCTTTCAAGCTCCCCGACAGTGGCGGGGAAGGGGCCCTGGCATGGGACGAGAGTCTTGGTAGGGTGGTGCCTGGCCGTTGTAGGGTTTGGTTCATAACACAGGTGCATTATCCAGGTGGGACTATCACACTTAGGTTGCCACAGTAGCTGATGAGGCCGAAGTTCAAGATACAGCAACTAATGGAAGACAATGCGACCAGGTTCTGAGGGAGCTGAGCCTTTCGGGTGACTGTGCCACTGGATGGAGAATGCAGTTGGGTGCAGACAAATGTCAGATGATCTCGGGGAGGGGACGGGACAACATACCAGAGAGAGAACAGATCACATGAACAGCCATGCAGCGTACTGACCGGGAAAGGGGCTTAGGGGGTTTTGTAGAAAAATCCTTGAAGCCACCAGCCCAGTGAATGGCTGCAGTAAAAGAGGCAAACAGGATGCTGGGGTACGTCACCCGTGGGACAGAGGCAGATCAGAAGAAGTGACATGGTTACTGTACATGGCACCGCTTAGCCCTCACCTCCACAGACTGCTTGCAGCCTGGGTTACATTTACAAAATGAAAAAACGACCGAGGTCCTGGGTGGCTGTCCCTGAGAGCCAGAGAACAAGGCCTCAGCGTTGGCCGTGCTAACCTTCCTTCCGTTTGCCGGACGCGGCTGCCCCCCGGAGCCAAAGGCCCTCCGGCCTCACCAGGGGCAGATGCTTGTTCTACCCACGGAGGCCCCCGTGGAGGTCTTGCCAGGCACAGGTGCCCGCACTCAGCTCCTTCCCCTCGGCAGAGTGTAGGGAGGTTTCCTCGGCGTCCCCGGGAAGGTGGTGAGAACCAGGCACCCAGTTTACTACTAACCCAGTGGTCGGCAAACCGCGGCTCGCGAGCTACATGCAGCTCTTTGACCCCTTGAGTGTGGCTCTTCCACAAAACACCACGTGCAGGCACGCACATACAGTGCGATGGAAACTTCGTGGCCCATGGGCAGCAGTCGGTTTTCGGCCTGGGCGAGTCTATTTTGAAGAAGTGGCGTTAGAACACTCAAGGGGCCAAAGAGCAACATGTGACTCGCGAGCCGCTGTTTGCCGGCCATTGTACTAGACAAAACTGAGGGGCCACAGGGCGGTCACTTGTTCCCTGGAAATCATGGCGGGGCCAGGATGAGAGCTGGTTCTGCGCTAATCCAGGATGCAGCATATCCCTTCCCTGTTTGATTCCCTTCCGACCCATCCATCTCTCACGTAAGACAATAAATATCAGTTCATATATAAACAGGCACACAGATCATCTAGGCCTCGACAAGAAAGACAGGGGAGTAAGCGTTTTCTCTCGGAAGTGAGGTGGGGTTTACATCTGTTAGAGCCGAGACCTCAGGGAGGGGAGACTGCCTGCAGACTGAGGGGAGAGGGTCTGGGAGAACCAGTGCCCATCGGGGCTTCTGGAGGGGGAGGGGCACGTTAGGGACTGCAGGTCCCTGTAACAGGTGTGTCCTCCCTCATGAGGCGGCTGCCTTGGTCTGAGTGCGGCCCAGCAGCTGGGCTCGCTAAGGGGACCAGGCAGCAGGTGCTCCTCACTGGGAGGGAGAAGGGCGGCCTGACCCTGGTTGTCTTGTTTCTGAAAAGTGCTCTGTTGGACCGCAAACCCTCACCATCTTCACCCAGAGAGCGCAGGGGGTGGGCCAGCGGGAGCTGGTTTCACTCGCCCTCCGATCCTCATCGCCAGGCTTCACAGGAGCAACAGGGCGGAAAGGTGTGTGTGTGTGTGTGAGGTCAGCGCGGGAGCTGAGGGGCACACAGGAGGACGGATGCCCTGCAGTTCCCCCAGCGGAAAGCTCGTCAGGAAGCCGCTGTGTCCTCAGTTCCCATGAGCCCTTCTGGGGGCGGCAAAGGAAACCGGACAGGAGCAGGCTCCCCTGCTGAGCTTTGCCTCCGAGGAAAGCCACCTGCCCAGGCCCAAGGGATGGGGAGGAGCTGCCAGCTTAGACGTGTCTGTCTGAGGCCCCAGGAGGCACAGACATCACGGGGGCTCAGTAGAATAGCAACATGGTTAGATGAGGTGAGGGGTCTCTTAGGGCCAAAGTCCGTCAACAAGCCAGAGTCCGCACTGCGTTGTCTCTGAGCCACGCGCAGAACAGGCCCCAAACAGGCAGAGAAGTGGCGGTTCAGAGTGTCTCCTGCCTGCTAGAAGGAGGGGGGAAGGGGGAGAGGGAGGGAAGGAAAATTGGGGTTGTGACTCTTGGAGGCTGAGGACACCTAACTCCTCAAGAGGGACAGGAGAAACAGCAGGCGGGGCCCCCGAGGAGGGGGTTTTCCAGAGCAACAGGGTGACTCCTATCTGCCCACTGCGAGCCCCTCCTTCGTTAGGAGAGCGGCGGGGGGAGGAGGCATCCATGCAGACGCCATGGCCTCAGCAGGGAATAGTCCCAGGGTCTTGGTTCTCATGGGGACTTGGCTTTCCTAACATCGGCTCCAGCCCCGGCCTCTCATTGTGCCCAGAAACCACCTCTCCACACCCTTTCTTCCTCTGGAGGCGGCTGGCTCTCAGGAACACCCCCACTGGGAGAACAGGACCCCCCGGGAGAGACCACTGCCTTCGGCAGCGTTTATGGTTGCAAGGCGCTGGAGGGACTCAGAACCCTCACTGCCCGCTGACAGACAGAACACACGGGCACCACGGCCCTCCCCAGCCGGTGACGGGCGGAAAGCCTGCCCTGGGAAAGCAGATCCTCACCATTTAATGAAGTGGACCCTCTTGTTTCCTTGAAGAACCACAAATCCAAAAGGAGTGAAGGCCAGAAACGCGGCATTTCCGGACACATCCTGCAACAGGAAGACTTCTCATCAGGGTGGGAGCGGCGAGGGTGAGGAACAGCTGTGCAGGGTGACCCAGGCTGCTGCTCGGCAGCAGGGAGGGCACAGAGGGAAGAAGTCAAGGGCGAGTTACTTACCGCCCCTGAGCCTCCATGCCCTTAACTGGGAGTTGTAGGTTATAATGATACCAATCTTAGGAGGCTGTTGTGAACATCCAGTGGGCATGGCAAACCCTCACGCACTGCTGATGGGATGGTAACGTGGCACAGGCACGTTGGAAATCAGGTTGGAAAGTCTTCTGATTGTTAAACACAGAGCTACCTTATGACCCACCAATTCCACTCCTAAGTATGCACCCAAGAGAATGGAAAACATATATTCACACAGAAACTTGTACACGAATGTTTATAGCAGGATTAAATAGTCATAACAGCCAGAAAGTGGGAACAACCCAAATATCCATCAACTGATCAAACACAAGGCGGCACATCCGTGCAATGGAATATTCAGCAATAAAAAGGAATGAAGCGCTGACACACGCTGCCGCCTTTGGACACGTTATGCTAAGAGGAGCCAGTTACAGAAGACCACACGTTGTATGATTCCATGTATATGAAACGCCCAGGATGGGCAGATCCATTGAGACAGAAGGCTCCCAGTTGCCAGGGGCTGTGGGGAAGGGCAGGGGAGTGACAGCTCACAGGAACACCAAGAGCAGCTGAGGGAGGAGGCCTCCCTGCAGTCGCGATGGCCCTCAGCGGGGGATAGTTCCAAGGTCTTAGTTCTCACAGGGACTTGGCTTTTCTAACATCGGCTCCAGCCCCAGGCCTAATTTTAGAACTATCTAATTTTGGAACCATAAAAACGTTCTAAAATTAGGTAGTGCTGATGGTCGCATAACGCTGTGAATATGCACACTTTGAAAGGATGGATTTTATGATATGTGAATTATATCTCAAAAAGCTGTTACAGCCGAAACCGGTTTGGCTCAGTGGTAGAGCGTCGGTCTGTGGACTGAAAGGTCCTGGGTTCGATTCCGGTCAAGGGCATGTACCTTGGTTGCAGGCACATCCCCAGTAGGGGGTGTGCAAGAGGCAGCTGGTCGATGTTTCTCTCTCATCGACGTTTCTAGCTCTCTATCTCTCTCCCTTCCTCTGTAAAATATCAATAAAATATATTTAAAAAAAAAAAAAAAAAGCTGTTGCAGAAGGAGAGAAGAAGAGGGGGGGGGGGCAGCCAGAGGGAGGGAGAGAAAGGATGAACGAATATGGCAGCTGTGATGGCCCCTACACACTGGGCTCCTCCCGGGAAAGCTTAGCGGAAGAGAAGGTAGGCAGCTGGCCAGGTGGACCGGCGTCACCGGCCCGATGGGGCCTGAACCAACCACGAGGCCGCCTGGTCCCCTTCACCATCAGTGAGCACCAGGCTTGAGGTTCCGCTGAGCAAAGCGGGGAGAGGGTGCAGGTTGTGTTCCCTCCGGTGGGCAGTGTGCTCCCCGAGGGGCCGGTCTTTTCCGGTTTGGGGCGGGGCACCGAGAGCTGGTGGGCAGTGACGCTCTCTCAGGGGAGCTTGCTTTGTGGCAGGGGCCCCCGGTGAGCACCTGCTGTCTGGGCGCGCTCCGGGGGCCAGGACATCATGGCAGAACGCTGGCCAGATGTGCGTGCAGGACGGCTGCCTGGGCCACGGCTTAGATGGTGCCGTGGAGTCAGGGCCAGGCAGGGCGTGGGCACACGAGGGTGGCCCTGGCCGGGGGGCTCTCCAGAAGAGAAGCCTCTGCAGGACTGCGTGAGCCCTAAGCAAAGCCTTCCCCTAAAAGTCTCTTAGCCTCGGGGGTACAGGTGTGAGCATCTGTGCCCAGGGAATACACTAAGCACATGTTTTGCAAACACGTGTCCAAGGAGTGTATTTTTATGACTGTCCTGTCCTCAGGGTGTGTCATGATGCAGACACTTGGGTGCAAGCACAGTGTCATTCAACCATGGGCACCGCGAAAGGCTGTTTAAAAATAACCCGAGAGGAGATACCGTGAAGCCACGTCCTGCCTGTCAGCGGCGCTGGGTGGCAGCTTACACCTGAGCGCCAGCACTGCACGCAGTGCCAGCCTGGCAGGTGGACAGGGACGCGGGTGGGGCAGGCTGGGGCCAGGGGTGGGGAATGGCGGGGAGAGGTGAGGGAGGGTAGGGCTTTCCCTTCCAGGAAGTCCTGAACTGAGGTTCCCAAAGGCAGAGACCTGCGGTGGGACCTGACCTTGTGGATCCTCACAGACCAGGCCTGCAGACAGGCCTACCAGGTGAGTGTGTGAGACAGTGAGGCGGCAGAGGGGCCGGGGTGGCTGCAGTGGAAGAAGCACTAACAAGGCGGGGGGGGGGGGGGGGGAGAGGGGGGGGACGGACACAGGAGGGGAGGGCACAATGGGGCGAGCGGGGGAGGTGCTTCCAGCACCCCGAGAGACAGGAAAGGCCTGGGAGGAAGGCGGGCAGAAGGGAAACAGGTCTGCCTGCAGAGGATTGAGGACGCCTGGGTGAAGAGTAGGAAGGGAGGCCGCAGGGTTGGCAGGGAAGGGCCACTGACCCCTGTGGGCAGTGGCGGGCACAGCGCGCCTGCACCGTCCTCAGCACCATGGGCTCGGGGCCCACCGCTCGGTGCCCGCATGACCTGGCCCCGCACTTCTCCGTGTTTCCGATTCCTCGCTGTAAGGTGAGGGCCCAGGATATTCCTCGGAGGCTGTGCTTCGCGGCACCGACACATGCTGCCGGCTGTGCCGTTAATAGTATAGCTGCTACTGGTGCGCTCAGCTTGTCGAACGTCGTTAGCCTAACGTGTTACTATTTTTCCTGATGTTGATGGGTTTAGACGTTGTTAGTTAGGAAGGGGGGGCGTGGGAAGCTGGGGCAGAAAGGGAGAAGTCCCCCCTGTCGGGGGGCCTGGGTGGAAGGGGGGAACCAGGGTGGAAGGGGAAGGTGGGGGCTGCGACGGTTAGAGGCTGGAATCACCCCGAGCAAAGGGAGGAGGGGTCCCCCCCAGCTGGGCGCTGATGCCAGGTTACGGCGTGGCACTGCCCACGTGCACACCCAGACCCCTGGGGGCTGGCCTCCCGGTGAAGGCAGGTGCTGGCGTTAGAGGGAACATCCTGTCCTGATCAGACCCGTTGATCTGGAACTGGGAGCAAACTGGGGGGAAAAACCCCGATTCGCTGCCACGCCATTCCAACGAGTGATAATAGCACCCGGACAACCCCGACCCTGTCTCTCCTATGAAGAGAGCCGTGCTCCCAACGGCTTTCCTGCGCCAGTTCCCGACGAAGGGCGTCCTCAGGGGCAGAGGCGGCCGGCGTGCCTGCCGCGCGCCTGGCAGGTGAGGAGCGGGGCTCGGACCCCCAGGGAGAGGCCGCCTGTCTGCAGCGGCGTGAACACACCGACCGGCGGCCGCGCCGACACCTTCTCTGGAACGTCCCAGTTCCTTCCGTCTAAAGGGTCATTCTCCGTGGGCGCCTGCCCTTGGGATTTGTGTGCAAAAGGACAAGCGAGGTGACAGAAGGAAATGAGGACGCGGAGAGAAGTGACACAGACGACAGTCACCTGTCCCTTTCTCCTCCTGTTGAAACCGGTTCACACAGGCCTGGGCCCTTCAGACACCTGGGAGGTGGAATGAAAACCCAGGCCTGACGCCACATCCACTCACCGCAGGGAGACTGTGGTTCACGATCACAGTTGGAGGTACACGTTTGTGTTGGGAGCCAGCAGAGTTGAGACAAGCAACTCAGTCTTAAGAAAACAGAATTAAGTTCCTTCTAGCAGAAGTTATGTGGTGCCCTGAGGGTTTGGCCAGAAGATAAGATTAACCTGCCTCTTAGTAGCTTCCTGCCGCTTAGCAACTTCCCCTTCCTGGTCCTCCCCCCCCCCCCCCCCCCCCCAGATAGCCCAGCCTTGGAATGTTGCACCTTGGAATGTTATGCTGCCCTGGCAGTTAGCCAATCCTGTGTTGCCAGATGCCAAAGACCCCTCTGCAAAGGCAACCCTGCCCCCCTTTGTTTCTGCTGTATAAATACAGCCATTTCAAAGAATAAAGTTGAGGCTTGATCAGAACCTTGTCTTGCCTCCATTCTTCCGCGTTCCTTGTTTGCTTCATTCTCTTAGGTGGTTCCTGCGTGCCCCCGTTGTTGCCTCACGGGCTGGGACACGTTTGCTTTCACTTTTTCATCCTCATGCGGAGAGCTTTGGTGTTGGGTTAGGACCCCAGCTCTGCAACGTACTTAACTTCTCTGAACTTCCGTTTCCTCATTTGTAAATTAGGATGAGAAATAATGTGTACTTCAAAAACATGGCTTCTGTCTGGTGGCCTGAATGACTGACTGGCAGGACGTGGCTGACAGTGCTTTCCTGGAGCTCGCCAGCAAACCCAACCTGCATCAACTCAGTCCCCTCACAGGCTGGTCCTCGGGTGTGCAGTCTGCCAGAAAAGGGATTTTGGAGACCAGCACTGACTGGTTCTTAGGAGGAGGGAGATCTGGCCACCTCGCCCTGTCTCCTAGACTTCACCTCCGGATACAGTGAGGCAGGGGGTCTTCTGCTCCCTGGGACATCCTGGGTATGGTGGAGTAGGGGCTCAGCATTCTCGGTGGGTCAGTCTGGGTGAAGCCTCGGACTTCGCTAGGGAGGAGGAGTCTACATGCTCTTCCAGACACTTACGTCCGTTTCTGAAAGCGTGCGAAGCTGGCACCTTTAAGTCCACTGTGAAAATCACTCCATTTTAACCTACTTAGCCCTGGCCACAAGAAACGAGGGTGGACATCAGCAGGAGGCACCCCGCAAGAGGCTTGGTGTCGTCACCCTGTGACAGTGCAGAGGTGGGAATCGTGGCAGAGACTTGCTGATTTGAGTCAAGTTCTTCCTTTCAGCCCAGCACGAGGGGCCCACCTGAGGATGAGGGTGAGCCATCACCGCTCCCCATTCCCCCTCTGTGGTCAGGGGCAACTTGTCTGGCTGGGAGGAGGGTTTATTTAGAGAGAAGCCTGGGCAGCTCGATTATGAAAATAATGGTCCTATTTTAAGGGCAAAGGAATGACATTTTACTTGTGTGGCTGCTCCAACCGAGATCCTGCTGAAATCAGTTTTCTCCTGGTCTGTCAGAACAGACATAAAGCCACGTGGTGAACGTGGGTTACATTTTTCTGAGTTCATTCCTTTCGTAGGTCTCTGCCTCCTCTACCACCCCTGGCAGAGAGCCCTGCTTTGTTCCTAAATAAACGCCATCTCTCCAGAAGGAAGACCACGAGTGATAACGGAAAGCACAGCATGAGACACAGACGGCGCTGGGTTCGAGTCCCAGGACTGTCTGTACCAGCGACTCGGCACATGCTAGTCCTTCAGAGGCATTCTTATCTTCCAACGAGAACAAGAACATCGTGGCAGTGTGACTGGAGAGATTAAGTGAGATAGTGCCCATAAGTGCCTGGCATGTTCCTTCAGTGAATGGCCCCTTTATAACTCGTGATAAGGCTGGTACAGGCTGGGTACAGGGACAGGCCTGAGCATTCCACAAACCTTACCGGCAGGGCCAGTCCAGGCCTGCGGAGACCCGGGAACCAGCCTGTCCCGGGGCCCAGCAAGGACAGGATGGGGGCTCCGGGGCCTGGAGAAGGGTCAGGCTAGGCCAGTGGTCAGCAAACTCATTAGTCCACAGAGCCAAATATTGACAGTATAACGATTGAAATTTCTTTTGAGAGCCACATTTTTTAAACTTAAACTTCTTCTAATGCCACTTCTTCAAAATAGATGCACCCAGGCCATGGTATTTTGTGGAAGAGCCACACTCAAGGAGCCAAAGAGCTGCATGTGGCTCACGAGCCGCAGTTTGCCGACCACGGGGCTAGGGTACGGGTGCAACACTGCCCTCATCCAGCAGCCATAGGCTTGGCCTGCGGGGGCTCCTGCCCAGAGCTCGGGGCAGCTTGTGGACGTGCAGCGTTTGGCGTTATCTAAGCCAGCTAGCTACGGGCGCCCTCCGCCTGTCCCACCCGGAGTCGGCAGGACCTCCTCTGCCTGGTCCCAGGGCCAGACGAGGTCACGGCCGGCAGAAAGAAACAGTCCACGTGGACAGGAAGAGCAGCAGCTTCTTAATCAGTCCGGGAGACAGAGCCCCGCCAACGTGTCATTCTGCTCCCATTTAATTATGAGAAGGGTTCCTCTTCTTCTGTCCTCCCTAGGGCTACGTGCCCCAGATTCCCCGGGCCCGGTAATTGCCTCTCCGTTAATAGAAATCATCAGTATTTATTACCCCAAGCGCTCCGGCTTATTTCAGCTCTCCTTGTAGCAACACCGGGCCAGTGCTGGGTAGCACATCGCCAGCTCGGCTCTACTTAACGACAAGGTGAAGGCTCCCGACCTGTTCGTGCTCAAGAGCACCCGGGAAATCCTGCACCGCGGCCCAGGGAGGAGCGGAGCCGAGGGGCTCCGGGCGGGTCTGCAGCAGCAGGGCCCCGGCTGAGCAGGAAGCGCAGGGCCCAGCACTGAGCGCTCCCACCCGTCCTCAGAGGAAGTCTCCTGGGCTCCTGTTCCTTAGGGATACAGCATGGGAAGTACTTCAGGTCCACTTCCTGCTCTTCCTCTCGGGGCCTTGGAAATTGTGGCTTCCTGGAACTCGATATTCTCACCTGTAAACCAGGAAGAATAACGCCCACCTCCCAGGGCTGGCACACAGAGGAAATGAGAAAATGTGAAAGGGTTCCCGTGGGCCTGCCACGAAGGTGTCACAAATGTCCATCCCTCCCTTCCTTCCTTCCTTTCTTTCTTTCTTCCTTCCTTCCTTCCTTCCTTTCTTTCCTTCCTTTCTTTTTTCCCTCCCTCCCTCCCTCCCTCCCTCCCTCCCTCCCTCCCTCCCTCCTTTCCTTCCTTCCTTCCTTCCTTCCTTCCTTCCTTCCTTCCTTCCTTCCTTCCTTCCTTCCTTCCTTCCTTCCTTCCTTCCTTCCTTCCTTCTGTCCCTTCAGCCTGAGTCTGAGAAGGACACACTCAATGGAGCCAGGAGCCCCACAGTCACTGAGCTGTGCCCAGGTCCACGGCCCACTGGGTGCTGCCAGGTGGCAGCCCTGCCCAGGGACCCGTCTCTGAAGAGGGGGCACTGTGTGGCCTGCAGGGGACAGGGCAGATTTGGAGTCAGAGAAAGTACTGGCACCTCCCGATGACCATGTCTGTGTTTAAGCAGCTGTGTCTTTTGAGGCCAGTTCAGGGAAGAGTGCAGCTATTGAGTGCCCACTGTGTACAGACGAGGAAAATGAGGCTCGGAAAAGCCTTGAAAGGCTGCAGGACGCAGGAGAGCAGGACCGGAGCCTCGGCCGGCTGACTCTGAGGCTCGCTCAGTCCTGTGCAGGCTCCTCTGCTGGCAGCACCTGAGCCGTTACTGCAGGTTGGACTACAGCCGTTACGCAGAGGCATTACTTAGGAAGCCGTGCTAATTCAATTATAAATACCCATACGCTTTTTTTTTTTTTTTTTTGCACAAAGAGGCATCAATGTGTCTTCTGACAGTGCTGGCCCCCGAGAACACAGGGGTTATCTGGCAGGAGGCCATGCGGGTGCACGGGGAAGGAGGGGGCGGGGAAGGGGACCAGGGTTTCTGACTTGGAATGTTGTCAGAGTTTATATGGGACGTTTCCACGTTAAACCCTCTGCGAGAACAAAGCCCCGTCCCCTCGCCAAGAGGTCCAGGGAAACACAGCTCTGCCCCGCATCACTGGCTCCTTGGTTTCTGTTCTCTTAGTTTCTGCTGGAATCTGATGATGTCCCCGCACCTACCAGGAAGGAGGGGGGGCCCTGGCCTCCTGCTCCCGTGGGATGCTGTCTCCCTCAGGTCAGTCTGAGGATCAGTTTCACTGGTGGCGCGGGGGTCTACCCTGGTCCCCTTCCCCGCCCCCTCCTTCCCATGCACCCGCATGGCCTCCTGCCAGATAACCCCTGTGTTCTCGGGGGCCAGCGCTGTCAGAAGACACATTGATGCCTCTTTGTGAAAAAAAAAAAAAAAATAGCGGGGGTCTACCGGTGGGGAAAAGGCAGGGCAAACACTGGGAGAAATTGAGGCAGAGACAGGCGTGTCGCGGCGAGCGGGGCAAGGCGGTGCGGCGCGGGGCCAGGGCCACAGGGTCCCCGGAGGCCGCGGTCCCTCCGCTCTCCGCAGTGACCGGCTGCCTGGGCGCATCGCCCAAACCCAGACACATGTGAGTAATCGCCTCCCGGCTGCTCCGTCGGCCCGAGAGGCGTGAAATGGGATTCGATGTGACTCCGCGCAGTGGCTTGGCCGCCGCAGTCAATAAAGCCGCGCTCCGGAGGAAACGAGATTACGGGTCAGGGGAGGGTGGGCCTCCGCGGAGCCGCCTCCGTCGTCCCCTGTGGGGGGGCCTTCCGTGTTCCTCCTCTTAGTTCCCACCCCATTGCCCCGGCTGCCGAATGGGCCCCCCTTTCAGATCTGTCACTTAGATGGACTCTGCCTCCGGCCCTCTGACGTGGATGTGGCAGCACAAGATTATGCAGCGTGGAATCCAGAGGAGTTTTCAAGACGAGACGTTTTCTCTGGCATCTGTCACTGGAAGCCCATCCCCCAGCCTCGGCAGGGGGGCGGGGTGGGGAGCGGGGCAGGTGGGCCCTGCCTGCCTGCTGCCCTCTATGGCCTCCCACCGGGGAGGGGCCCTACCTTACACGGGTGAGGGTCCACGCCGTAGGTCTCCAGTGTCTGCGCTTTTCTTAAGAAGTTCAGCTCTGACGTTGCTGGTGTTTGGCCACTGGCATAAAGAAAACATGATGTCAGGGTTTCCCGTTTCCATAGCCTCCCCCGACCAAATCATTATGACGTGCTCAGGGTGAGTCTCATACCGCAGTTTTCCCAACGTGCACTCCCTGCTCGGTCCTAGGACCGACTTGATTATTTCTATTTATTTATTTAGTTTTTAATTTATTTTCTTTTTAATATATTTTATTGATTTTTTTTTTTTTTGAGAGGAAAGGAGAGGGACAGAGAGTCAGAAACATCGATGAGAGAGAATCATTGATCAGCTGCCTCCTGCACACCTCCCACTGGGGATGTGCCCGCAACCCAGGTACATGCCCTTGACCCGAATCGAACCAGGGACCTTTCAGTCTGCAGGCTGATGCTCTATCCACTGAGCCAAATCGGTTTCGGCTCTAGGACCGATTTCAGAGGTTTCAGCCCAGGGCCAGAACCTCCATGTCTTCGGGGAGAGGCAGGCTCCGTAGTGAATGGCACAGGCTGGGTGAAGCACACAGGGCGCCATGGGGACTGGCAAACGGGAGCCCAGCCCCAGCTAAGGGGGGGAGCTGCTTCTCTGCTCCAACACTGTCGTCACGGGGAAGGCAGGGCCCAGTTTGGCTAGATGTGATTTTTAAAGAGAAGTCAGAGATATTGATTTTTTTTTTTTTTTTGTGTGTGGTGTTTCATGATTTTTAAATACGACAGGCACAGACAAAACACATCTGCATGCGGGCCATGGGTTTCTCTTCTGTGATCTGATCTAGACTGAATGCAAACAGGGGGCCTGTATATCCCTGAATATCTATGTAGATCTATGAAATGCAAACAGGCAGCCTGCGCTGCCGAACCCTCTTCCTTTACCAACAGGGCTCATGGGAACGGAGGGTGACGTGACGAGACGCAGCAGGAGACAGGGCGGAGCTCCCCAGACTCCACCCCAGCGCTGTCTGCCCGCAGGGTGATGACTACGGAAAGGAAACAAGCAGCCAAAGGACGAAACCAGCCCTGGCACTCGCTGTGTGAAGAAGGGGCCATTAGCATCGTCATTCCCCCTCACGCTCAACACAGGCCAGTGGCCTAGGCCGTCGGCGGCTCTCCGGGGCCCCCGAGCCCTGGCAAAGCAGACGCTCTCCTACAGACGTGGGGGTGGCTTCGGTGTGAGGAGGGCTGGGCAGAGAGACCAGCCCCCACGGGAGGAGCAGGCCAGAGTGTCCCTCTGGAGAGACAACAATCGGCACCTTAAGTGCCAGCCTCCGTGCTGCCTGCTGTGAAATATACCAAGACGGTAGCGCACGCAGCCTGGGCCCTTGATGAACTCACGTTAGAGATGGAAAAAGGAAACCCAGACACGTTTCACAGTGTGAAGCAGAAGCCGACCCTGGGTAAGAAGAATGTTTACTGCGCACACTGCTACATCCACCCGTGTGCGGAGGCCGGGAAAGGTGCCTGGGAAACACCTGTGCAGCAAGCCGAGGGCTGGGCTCGGAGCTCCAATCAGGGCTGGAGCTGGCCCAAACCGCTCGGGTCCTCAGAGGGGCATCGTTTCCTGGGGATCTCCAACCTCCTACCAGGTTTCCGAAGGGCTGTTCCCACCGCTCTGACATCCCAAACCCTCGTGACAGCGCCTCAGAGGAGCCCCAGCACATCCCTGCCCTCTCCCAACGCACCCTGAGCCCTCACACAGGCCCGTGTGCATCCCGACTTTGCCACACGGGGCCGCTATTCCCCTAACAGTGATGGGAGGGGCCGGTGGAGGCCGGCCGGCCTGCCCAGGGAGCGGGGTGGGAAGCTGCTGGGATCCCACCTTAGATAGGGGTCTCCTTGCGGCTGGGAGGGTGGGGAGCCAGTCTTGCCCCACCCGGTGGGGCAAAGGAAGGAAACTGTGGGACGGGTATGTCGGTACACTCTTTGAATGAAGGTGCAGATTTGTTCTTTGTGTTTTGGGGTTCGGGAGATCAGGGTAGGGACTAGTTTAGACTTAATATATTCGTTAGGTATCTTTTACCCCCGTGTGGGCGTTTTTCTTCCCCAGGAAGGTAGTTACACATACATTTTTAAAGATTTTTTTTTAGAAGTATAATGTACTGATAGAACGGCAAGTTTTATTATACAACAATCCAGCGTATATCATGGTTTTCTCCATAGTTTATCGGTTTGGAGAGCCACATCATCTGGAGCCCAAACACGCTGTTTTTTGTTTTTGTTTTTGTTTTTGTGTGTGTGTGTGTGTGTGTGTGTGTGTGTTTAATCAATCTTTGTAGAAAATCCTATTTCATATGAGTGAAAGGATGCATTCATGCTATTTGATAAGATGAGGGATAATCTGGGGTAAGGACCCGAGGAGCACAAGCTCCTGCTTCCAGCTGCTCCTCTGCTCCTTCCCTCTGCGAAGGGCGGGAGAGGCCGGGCTGGAGATGCGGGCTCTGACCCCAGTGCCCTCCGGGCACCCGCAGCACTGCCTGGTGCTGCCCCACCCAGCGACTGGAGGCCTGACCACCGTCTCCCTGAGCCCGAGGCTCGCTCATTTGTCACATTCCCAAGCCACCCCTCCTCTAATCTTTTTTTTCCCCCCTTTCTGCTGTTTCCTTTACATTTTTTTGTTTTTTCCCTTTTTGCCAGGTCATGCTTTTGACGTCTGTCTCCTCATTTTTCTTGGTGAAGCAAGTACCTTTGAGCCAATCTCCCTGTTTTCCTTACTATGCAATGTCTTTCTCTGGCCGTTAAGTCTCAGCCTACACCACTCCTCTTGGAGGTTTGGGGCTGTGCTGTCAGAGGGCCACTGGAAATGGCTCATCCAGAGTCCGGAAGATCAGTGTCCTGAGCTGGGACTGAGTGTCACTCACCTGAGTTCTGTCCTGTGAATCTCAGCAATCCTCCTTTCCAGCTTCTCTGAATGTTTAGGAAAAAACTGGAACTTGGAGCTGTAGCCTTCAGGGTGTTTTCCTGGGTCATAATCTCCAATCTCCGCTTGTAAAAGGGAAGCAGAGGAAAACAATCGTGAGCACTGGCAAAGCAGCGAACGAGGAACACAGAGTCAGCGCCCGCATGGGACTTACACGAACAGGGGCCCTGGGCATGGCTGCGGGGCGGGCCGAGGGCATGCCTCTCCAGAGCATGTCCATGTTTGCTCTCCCTGGTGTGCACACTGGGCTGATGCCAAGCTTAAGAGATGGCAGAGCTGACCCCGTGTTCAAGAGGGCACTGCAAGACAAGTTGCAATCAAAGAGCAGAGGTCTACACCATGGCCCTCCTCCACTCAGTTATGAGACGAGGGCTGGGGAGCTTGACCAGGAAGGCAGAACCTCTCGGGCCTTAGTCAGGTCAGAAATCTCGCTTCGAGGATTTCAGTGGGGACATAGCGAACTGATGAATGAGCCCTGACCCAGACTCAGAACTCAACTCTCTGTCCAAATCAAATGAAATCAAGTGAATACATTTGAATAAAAATTCACGGAGAGCTGAGCAGGCATCAGGCCCCCTGGAGAGGACTGCGGAGCAGGGAATACCGGCCGTGATGAGAAGGTGCCGTTGAGATCCACAGCACTGGTCCCAGGGCTGGCTTCTCAGCTCCCTGCAGGGCAGGGGGCTCTGTCTGGGAGTCTGTCCTCAAGCTGCTAAGCTGTCAGATTTTAGAGATCTTTGGGGGCAGGGGTGGCGGTGCTCTCTAGTGGGTTCCGAGATGAGATCCGAGCTCCTTCCAGGTGAAGTGCTCCACAGCAGCATCGTGGAGATGCGAGGAGGAAGGATGCTAAGAAGTTCTAGCTGCTGTGGCTGCCCTTCCTCCTTCCCTGGTGAGAACCACAACCAGTGCTGAGAGGAGTACGGAGGGATGAGTAAATACTAAGGGGAAATGAGCCCTCCTCTCACAGTTGAATATTATGCTTCCAAATACTTGGAGATTTCTATCTTTTTAAAAAAATATATATTTTATTGATTTTTTGCAGAGAGGAAGGGAGAGATATAGAGAGCTAGAAACGTTGATGAGAGAGAAACATCGACCAGCTGCCTCTTGCACACCCCCTACCAGGAATGTGCCCGCAACCAAGGTACATGCCCTTGACCGGAATCGAACCTGGGACCTTTCAGTCTGCAGACCGAAGCTCTACCACTGAGCCAAACCGGTTTTGGCGGGATTTCTATCTTTGAGGAAGAGACTAAAGGCTTCTCTGGGCCACACGTCCAGAGTGACTTCGAGCCAGGGAGTCCTTCATTATGCCTTTGTTTAGAAAGCTCCACAAGGAAGACATCAACGCTGGACACCGTTTCCTTAAAGGAAAAAAACTGAAAAATTCAATCTGGTTGCCCAGGTAAACTGCAGGAACGACCAGAGTTTAAAATTGAATGTAGATGGAACAGGGTTCACCTTAAACCTCTCTGGGTACCTCAGGGTTGGCAGGACCTTCCTCTTTAAGGGATTGCCATGTTGTAGTGGGCTGACTTTTACATTCTTCTTGCAGCTGGGATATTTCTCTGGCCAGGACAGTTTTAGTTTCTATCGGCAAGGATTCTCCAGGTTCTCTTCGTAAAGTAGCTTCCCCGCATCCACAGATTTCCAATAAAGCGTTCAGATTCTTGGATGGAAACGTCACCATCTCAGTGCTATGGTCAGTGACAGGGTCAGGCCTAAGGACTAAACTAAGTCTGGGAAGTGGCACCTAGACGTCCCTTGCATTTCATGAGAGGAGAGGGATTATACGTGAAGATGCTTATCTTTCCCACTGTCTTTGCAAAAAAAAAAAAAAAAAAATCCCAGTATGGACACCAGCTGAGTACACACTCATCTCTACCTTATTAGCATGTTAGGAAATGTGTTTGTTACAGGGAAACATTTTCAATGTGGAGCACTGTGAGCAGGAAGGGCTCTGCAACAGGTGCCGGGACTCCAGGGTGCTTCACTTCTTTGAGGTTCACATGAAAGGAAACGTGGCTTCAGAGGCCGCTCCAATCTCGGTAACTTATCAGCCGAGGGTGCGGGGAAAACACCCTGAACGCAGTGCGGACGGCGCGCACCGAGATGGCAGGGCCGGCACAGGGGCCCGGCTCAGCGCGGGGTGAGCGGTCAGAGCCCTCTCCGAGGGAGTCCAGGCAGAGCCCTCGAATCCTCTGCTCCGGGTTAGATAGAGCTGTGTGTACCCGAGAAGTAGTCATCGGTGGTGATGGCAATAATGCAATCTGTACTTGGCATGAAAAGCGAATTTGTCCTGCCAAAAGCCATTACCTTGAAGGATATAAGCCGCTAACAAGGCGGCATCGGATGTTTTGCAGAGGAGGCGGCCGTGGTAGAGATCCCTTTTGATCTGCAGGAAGACCAAATACCTGGAGAGGAAACACGGGCGGCATTACAAGGATTTCGTTGATTGCTTTAAAGACAAAAGCTCTGTCAGGACACTTTCACTACATTAAAACAAACAAACAAACAAACAAACAAAAACCCCTCAAAACATACCACAGAACAAATACAATTTCCACTTCCCGGAAGACTCTTTCAAGTACTCTGCTCTGAACTGATTTGAGGTTCAATTCAAATTCAAATTCCGTCAGTTTCTTCCTACATCTCAAAACAGAGACGGCAGTCCCCGGTAAAAACATAGTCTGCCCAGTGCTGGGCTGTGGAGCAGCCGGCCCAGATCAGCTCAGTGTCAGAAAGAGAGCGATGCCGGAGGAGAGGGGCCGATGGCTCTGGCTGATGTTCCTTCCCCAGAAGCGGCCAGTGCCCAGCGAGCTCTGCCTGGTGTCGGGAGAACCTGTCCGCCTGAGCGGCAGCCTCATTCTCGGCAGAGGGCAGCCTGATGTGCCAGGATTAAGTAAGGCGGGAGAAGAGGCCCCGAGTGAAGGGAGCGAGGACACCAGTGGCTAACAATGCTCTCCGCCCAGGAAGCTCTCGCCTCAGGCGGGAGGATTTCAAAGCAACAGCAACTGCCAGGTACTGAGCGCTCACCGTCTGCAGCCCAGGGTGATGCACTTGACATGCAACCTCTCAGCTCATCCTCACCTGACACTTTGAGACAGGTACTATTGTTATCCCTCCCTCCCACCCCTCCCCCCTTTTAAGAAAAAGTCAGTGAGGTGCATGGTGAGAGGCGGAGACGGGACTCAAGCTCCAGCCTGTCAGACTCCCTGTCAGACTCACTTCGTCACTGTGTGTACTATTCCCTCCTTGCACTCGCACGGCCTCCTAGTTTCACAAGCAGCTGGTGCGCCCTGTCCCGGAGGAACGGAATTGCTAACTTCCCTTTGGAAAACGTCTTTCCAAGGAGTGGGGTCTGCAATGTTTGTAACTTCACTGATGCCCCAGGAAGAACAAGAGCAGGGTAGCAAACTCTTATGGACGTATGTTTACCCCCCGCAGTGGTTCCTTGGCCCGAGGTGGGTGGGGGGGGTCATCTGGGGAGGTTTAAACAGATGCCCGAAATTCTCTGCTACTCCTCAGCTCCAGAGACAGAGCTTCACTCTCTCCCTTTGAGTGTGGGCTGGACTTAGTGACAAACAATAGAGCAGGAGTGGTAGATCTGACATCCCAGATGAGGCCGCAGAGCCACGGCACCTCCCTCCCTCTCTCTCTTCCTCCTGGGCCTCTCTTCTTGCCTGAGGATGCTTAACAGCCCTGAGAGAGGTCCATGCGGCGAGGAGCTGAGGCCTTTGCCAACAGCTCGCCAGGGACGGACACTTTCTGCCAACAGCCATGTGAGCACACCGTCCTGGAAGTGAATCCTCCAGTCAGGCCTTCAGACCCTGAGAGACCCTGCGCCAGAACCCGCCAGCGAAGCCGCTCCGGAGCCCTAACCCACAGAAGCCGAGAGATGATACATGCTTGCTGGCTTAAGTTTTGTGGCCCTTGCTAGACAGCCTTCGCTACTACAGGATTCCTAGGGACATGAAGTAAATCCTCTTAAATTCCATCAGAAAGGAAAGTGGGTGCTACCTGGACAACTAGGAGTTTCCCCCGCTTCTGTTTTCAGGATGAAGAATGAAACAGGATTCCAGGCTCCCCTGAGCATGTGAAAGTGCTCAAGGAAAGGACTACCGACCCTGCAACTTGGGTCAGGAGGGGTCCCCCGGTGACTGAGAACCATGGGCACGGTGCGACCAGTAATTAACAAACAGAAATTAGGAGCAAGCAAACCTCTCTCTCCTAAGGCCCCGCTATTCCAAACGTGGCCTGCCGAGCCGCAGCACCTGGGAGCTTGTTGGCAGTGCAGAACAGAGGCCCATCCTAGACCTACTGATTTTAACAAGATTCAACAAGATTCCCAGGGGGTTTGTGTACAGATTAAAGCATAAGAATCCTTCTTACCACACCAAGTTGGATTTCCCTCCTCAAAACAAAGGGATGGTGAGCATTATAGTCTAGAAGTTAAAAACTCCCCTCCTTACCATCACCAACCCAACCCCACTCTGCCCCAGTGTTTGCAGAGAAAAACGGAAGGAAAAAGAAACCACGCTGAATGAAAAATTAAGATGGGTCTACCACATCAGGCTTGTCTTCGCTCTGCTTCCCACAGGGAAACGCCACCCGGCATGTGGGAGAGAGGGAGGGCAGGAAGAGGGGGAGAGGAAAGGATTCTGGCCTCTCACTGTCCCAGCTCCCACCTTCCCCATGCATTGGCAGGAGGTGGAAGCAAACCTTTGGCTCCTTGTTCACCAATCACTCCTCCCACACCTCTCTGTTTATCTCTGTCCAAAATTCAGGGACAGCACATAGTGGGTTGAAGGAGATATTTCAAAGTTCTGAACCTTGGAAAGCACTGGTGGCTCCTGAAGAGTTTCCTCCAGAAGATCCTTTGGCCCCACCTTCCCTTCATTAGATTCGTTGCCTCTGGTTTCCTCTATTTCCTACCGCCCTTTTCCCCAAGTAAGTATAATCACGCTCAGTATGTCTTCCTCCCTCACACTGGACTCCAAGCTCCGTGAAGTCAGAGACGATGCTTTATTTACTTTTTATATTCTTCTAGAAAGCCCATGTGTCCTTTGCCTAACTCCCCAGATCCCCTCCCTCCCACCAGCCATCATCCTGCTAGTTCACTACACAGGTGCCAGAGTGCCGCAGGGAACATTCCAGTGGGAGAGACAGATAACAAAAATAACAAAACAAAATAATAACAATAATAAGCCCGGCTGGCATGGCTCAGTGGTTGAGCGTTGGCCTATGAACCAAGAGGTCATAGTTGGGTTCCCGGTCAGAGCATATGTCGGGGTTACGGGCTCAGTCTCCAGTGTGAGGCCTGCAGGAGGCAAGCCGATCATTCTCTCTCATCATTGGTGTTTCTGTCTCTCCCTCTCCCTTCCTCTCTGAAATCAATAAAAATATATTTTAAAATAATAATCGTGATTTCCCGAGTGCATGCTGTGTGCCACACATTGAACTATGTATCGATAACACACACACTCTCATCTAATCCTCACAACGGAGAGGCGACTGCTGGTTTTATCCTCACCTCACATAGTGTGGCTTGCCTTGTCACGTGCCAATTAAAAGAAAACCTGGGATTTGAACCTGGCATTTTTGAACCTTTTTTTTATTCCTTAGCCTAGGGTCAGCAAAACTACAGCTTGCCATCAGAGTTTCCATGAAACAAAATACAATTTTAGTGGAACACAAACATGCTCATCTCTTTATCTATCATCCATAGCGCTTTTGCTCTATAACGGCAGAGACGAGTAGCTGTGACAGAGACCAGATGGCCACAATGTCTAAAATACTAACTCTCATGGCCTCTTACAGAAAGAGTTTGCCAACCCATCTGAGCCTAAGTTGGGTTCAACTGATATTCTTTGAAGGAATAAATGACTTGTGCACACCATTCATACATGCATGTACGTGCTCCCCCTGTTAGCATTGCTTTGAGCACCTGCTCAAACACGTGTCAGGCAGTGTGCTTCCTTGGAAGGCGGGCCCCTTTTGTACTCAGGTCCCTCTATTACTCCATCTTCCCAAGGCATTCAGACACGCGCAGTCCCTGCTAAAAAGCTAGATTTGGTGCCTAATCCCCATTTTCTCTGCCTTGTCTCCAGCTCAGACAAGAAAATCTATTTATTCCTTTAAAAAAGGACAAAAGAGATTAATCAGGACTTGGCCACTAAATTTATCACCTGGGAAGAGTCCAAGAGATAAACCGAAGCGTAGTTCTTTACTCCCTGCTCCATCCCCTCCTCTCAGCCTGGCTTTATGGGAATGGCCGAGACGGTGGTGAAATTGAGGAGCAATATTGCGAGGAAAAAAAAAAAACACTGACAGCTAAATTAGTTTGGCAGGAAAGTGGTATGGAGGGCTCTAAGCCAGGAAGGAATTATGGGTATTGAGTAAGGCTGGGGCAGGTACCTGCTGTTTTAAGATCAGCGGGGATGGGAATGAGGAGAAAGATGTTGCTAATTCTAAGGCCATCCCTGAACGCCATGGGGAGGGGGAGGCAGTCAGCCTGTGACTAACTCTCCTGTCACGCCTGGAAATTGCATTCTAGGAAAGGAAGGCTGGTGAGATGGAGAGAGGGGAGGATAAGGGAGGGTGGTCAGCACAAATGCATGCAGATGGGGAGGGGCTCACACACTTGTCAGGGTCCTTGAAGTCTGCTGACTTACTGAGAGGCCTGGCCACCGTCCCCTACTTCTCTAACCCGGACGTGGGTGATTAGCTAAGATGGCTTTTTCTCTGGGTTCTCAAGTTAGCTGCTTAAGTGTTAGGACTCTCGCTGGCAGGGAAAGGGGACAGAAGAGGTGAGGGGGTTTATCAGAGAAGAAGTGCCTTTCACATAAAAAAGGAGGAAAAGTCAGAGCTAACTGTACTTGTGCCCCTTGGGGTCCACGGACCATGTAGCCAATCTGGCAGTCAACAGGTATCAGGCCTGTGCACCGTGTAAGACTCTGGGGGTATTAAGAAGTGCAAGACCTTGTATAGTGATTAATGCTTCCAGCAGTTCTATGAGGTAGCTCTCGCCGGCCTCCTTTTATACATGAGGAATCTGAAGCCCAAGGAGGCTAACTAGCTTACGACCATTAAGAAGTGACAAACAGGACCTCAGCTCTGGGGCTATGCTGCTTCTTGGGTAGTTGGGTCTGTGGGTTAATAGTATGAGGTGGCGTTTGATTTAGAAAAGTATGTTGTTCAGAGCTCCTTCCTAAGGGCCACGTTCATCATATATTTTTGTCCTTTAATCAAATCAGAAAGGGCCTGTGGTGCTCTCACTGGGTTACATCAGACCAGCTCCTCATCCCCCTGTCGGCCAGCGAGGTGCAGACCAGGCAAAGCGGATGTGTGCTGTTAGGAGGCCGGGGCGAGGCTCTGAGCAAAGATGTGTTGAATTTGCTCTGACAGGTGGTGGACAGGGACACAGGCTTCTGGATCTGTCCTGGTGTCATCACCTCTTTCAATAGAAAGAGGGAAGGAGGGAGAGAGAGAGGAGGGGAAGGGAAGGAAGGCAGGAAAGAGGGGAGGGGAGCCAAGGGGAAGAGCGGGGAGGGGCGGGGAAGATGTGCTCAGACCCGAGGCAAACACTAGATAGAGATCATGAGCAAGGCAGGCTAGTGCTTTGCCAAAACTCCTCTGTTTAAGTTGTTAAACATAGTAGATCTCCCCTCACTGTTCCACCTAAAGCTACAGGACTGCTCATTAATATGGATGAGGTTGATTTTTAGAAGCAAAGTGGGAGCCACATCCACCTCCGTGTGGAGGAGCAGAGCGTGCAGTTCTGATGTCCAGGAAGGAACATGAGGTGTGATTCCACCCACACACCCCCTGCCCGCCGTGCTTCCGAGGGGGTGGGTGCCCCGCTCCACACCCAGAGCAGCCGCTGTCCTGATCCTCTGGCCAGATCGGAAGACTCCTCTCCCTCCGCGGCCAAGCCACCTTCCCTCCCACCCGCCTCTGCTTCCTGGTACTACTTGTTCCCGTTTCTTGCTCTCTTCTCTCCCCATGTCCTCATCTTCCTTTTCAGATAAAACTTCCGCCCCTTTTACTGGATGTAAAGGTAGCGGCATGCTCTTCAGAACACGAAGAGAACATAATTCCATATTCTTTCTCCCTTCTTCCTTCCTCTTTTGTTTTGGGATTCTCTCAAGCAGTTCAGGTCTAAAAGTAAATCACTAAGCCTTACAGGATGGACAGCCTGTAGGCCTGGCAAAGGCCTCATCCCCTCTGCTTCTCTCAGGTGTGAGGGAGGGGTGGGGTGGGTGGAGCGGTTTCCTCCTCAGCTCTAAGATCCCCTTTTCACCCGGGCCCCTCCCTCTACAAGGTAACAGCGAGGTTTTGTTTATGCCAACATTAGACCTTCCTAGGATAAAAATTAAGGCTCCCTGTTCCACAGAGTTCCTACATCTCCGAGGCAACACTTTTAAAGTGAATTTGGCTCCGAGATACAAAACCCTGGGGAAGCTTCGAAGCTCCTACTCGCTGACCCTCTCACAGGCTGGCTGTGGGCACAGGCGCTCCTCCTCATCCACAGGAGGCGCTGAGCGAGATCGAATCCATTCCCTGTGGCCGTCTGCTCTCCAAGAACACAATGCCCACGACGAAGAGCTTACCGGGCACCTGATCCATCAGCACTGACTTACTTTGATTTAAAATCCTCAGTTATTTCCCAGCTGGTCCTTCCGGGTCATGCTTTGGCGTCTATTCCCATCTCCCCCCAAAAGCAGCAACACAGCCCTCTCCGGAACGTCCGAGGTGGCCACCTCACAGGTAAGAGGAAAATGTGCATTTGATTCACCCGTTTCTCCAGAGCCCCCTGAGAGGCCGGTTCAGGGTGGTGTGTTCACCCTTTCCGGAGAGGGACACGCCCTCTGCTCCAGTGTACAGAGGGGGTGAGCCAGGAGCACACGTGGGGATGAGGCACGGAAGCACGGTTATATTTAAGGGGAATGCCTCGCCCATAGGAATTAGGAGCTTCCAGCACAGAGAGTCTGAGAGGCTACAGCCCCTCCCTCCTGGCCTCTTCAACGGGTCTTAGTGGTGGAGGGAGGTATGTGTCATCTCACCTGGTTATTTCCTCCTTCAGGGCAGCAGGGTCCGTAGGGTAGAACTTCACCCGGAAACACATGGTGAACGGAGGCTGGGCTGCAGAGAAAAACAGGTGCCGCACCATCAGGGAAGACCTCTGGCCCAGAGAAGAGGGAGCTCCCCTCCCCACCAGGAGGCACGGGCCTCTGAACCCCCAGAGAAAATCCTCAGGTGTTTAGGGCCACGTGTGCTCAGAACAGTGGAAAACCACCAAGACTCACCACACGTGGGAGGTTTCACCCCTCCCTCCCCCAACCCTCTCCCCCTGCCCCGCTCCCCAGGGGTAGGGCTCGAGTCTTTTCCTGGGGAATACTTACATCTCAACTGCTTCACCACAGATTTCGTAAACTCCAACCAATGCTGAGAGCGAGAACACAGAACAAGAAAGCCCTAATGAGAAGCAGTGTCAGATGTAACCTGCTGAACCCAATTTAAATCACCAGATTGCAGCCCAGGGTGAAAGCAGCCCAAACGCTTGTGATCCGCAGGTCCGGAGAGTGACGAGCGACAGGATTTTCTGAAAAAGCTCCCCGGGGAACCAGCTGTGAAGAGGAAGGCGTTCCAGCTTCAGATGCCATTTCTGGGCTTGTCTGGCAGGGCCGCCTCCCAGAGCAGGGTGCCAAGGTTCTGATCCACGTTTCTGGCACGCCAGTAGGCACAGTGAGTGTACGTGTGTGTGATGGGGACCGAGTCCCGTCCGGCGTGAGTAGGGAAATACTGGCTTTAATGGGTTGTACGTATGTGTGCTACATGCCAACGTTTTTTGACAGGGGCTCTAGAAAGAGAATTTCATAAACGATGAGAAGGGAGGGATGGCTGAAGTATCTGCCATCTTTGTTTGAGTAACACAGACTGCCCAGCCCCGTATGAGAGAGGCGTGCTCAGGATTCCTTGGCAAAGTCTGTCTCATAAGATAACTTACCACAACTGATGTACAGGATCCTATCCTGCATCCCTTGGAGCTTCATGGAGGCGGGACATAGTAGCAATGCATTCCCCCTTCCCCCGGGTACTTATGGTGGGGAAGGAAGCAATGAGACCGTTTTATGTGTTTCCCAGTCCTACATGGATGCTTTATAAATGCATCATTGGTGTTTGTTGCTGTTATGCTAATCAGGAACCTTGGCAATTTGCAGGGAGCTAGAACTACTGTTACTTGGGTTTGGTTATCTGGAAGTAGCTTAAAACCATTAGCCATGAGTCCTGTGAGGGCAGGAAACTGTCTTGTTTGCACTGGATTGCCCAGCACGGTGTTCAGTATGCAGCTGCCAACGGTTCGAAGGAACCAGGCCCATACCGCCTTCCTTTCTGGTTACTTCCGTTTAATGTCACATCTCGGCAGAGTCCTCGCTTTGCCGGAAGGTGGCCGGGGCCATGCAGACGGCATCCTGGCCTCCTTCCATTCCCAGCTCTCACCTTCTGGGCCAGGCATGGGCTATGCAGTTAATGGACCCAGTAAGAGCCAGTTCTCTCGTCAGCTCTGCATGGATAATCTGGGTTGACATTCTGCTCTCTTACTTCCTCTGATCTGAGTTCCCACGAGGCTGGCAACTCATTATAGCCACTCAGTGTGGTTAGGAGGGCCTTCTCACGTTACCGGCCCGCTGCGGCTCGGCTTCACCATGAGGCCAAGGCAGGAGATGAAATTGCAGGGAAACAACGGGGCTTCCAGGAGGCCAGTCTGGAACTTTGCGCTGGGAGAGGAGCCCGCAAGTGTCTGGACTCAGTAAACAGGATGCCCCTAGACGTTCCCCGACAGATGAAAGTAAACCAACAAAGAAACTTGGAAACTAAGAGGAAGGACTTGTAAGATCCATTATGAGCAGAAGGCAGATGGTGCTGAATGACAGAAAGGCTATTGAGGACTTCAGGGGTGAAAACTGAAGAAAGGAGGGAGGCTGGAGGAGAAGGGAGGGGTGGGAAGGGAGTAGAAAGTGGTCACAGTTTGCCCAAGAGATTTTAAGGGTCTGATAGGAAAATCTTGAAAGGATCCCAAGAATATGGTGATGGCCAGAGCTACCTTTTGCATCTGTCTGGCTAAGCCTGGGTCCCAGCATCACTAGCAAACTGTTAACATGGGTTTGGGGGAGAGGGGTCAGGAGACGAGGAGGAGACCTGCCCCAGGCAAGTTACTTAACCTGCCTGAGGCTTTGTTCAGTAACCTGGAGATGGATAATACAACTGTGGATACTCATCTCACTTGTGCAGGAATTAAATAGCATATGTGACACCCATAGCTCAGCTCCCCATACAACTCAATACCCACCCGCTGAAGCATTTAGCTCTGCGCTCAGTGCAGAGCCCAACACGCTGCAGCCACTCCATAAACATTTATTTCTCTTTCCCCCCATTTCCTTACCTTTCTCTGTCTCCTGCTCTTAATCCTCATCGCTCCACATTCCCTCTTATTCTCCTCAGGCACGTTCTGGCCTAACTTAAAAATAATGAACAGGACACTGTGCCCTTTTTTCCTCCCATGCTACTCTCTCTGGGACATGAAGAGACAGAGCTCAGGGTAACTGGCCTTCCTTCTCAAAAAGAGACAGCTCACACCAACAGAATACAAAAATCAACAACAAAGGACCCCGCTGTAAAAACAGCCCGTTACCACACAGCGAATGGACACCGACAGACAGTGCGTGAGGACACACAGCTGCTCGGGGTCTGGCACCTCCTGGGGGCTCACACTGTGGTCCGGGGCTCAGGGCAGGAGTTATGTGAGGGCAGTGGCGCCTTTACAGGCGAGGAACTAACCTCACACGACCTTCCAAACACCAATGAGGCTCAACACTCTGCTGAGCCGGGAGTAACGACACCTGCCAGCAAGGGGGCGGGGCTTGTCGGAGTGAAAGGGTGCAGTCCTCCTGAGCCTGGCCTACAGCTCAGGTGTTCAGCCCTAACACCCTAAGCTGCACCTGGAGACACAGGGTTCAGGGCAGCAATTTGCAACCGCTGTGTGGGAAGACGTTCTGAAACATGCGACATCCGGCTACTTAGTCAGGGGCACTGACCTCATTTCCCTGATTGTTAAATAAAAATATGACTGTCTGAATGAACCAACATTATACCTGGTCTGTTTGTTTGTCAGATTGGCAAAAAAAATATACACTGTCTGTGCACTGCAGAATGTTAGTAATTAGTTTCTGTGTGCCACGAGATGAAGGTTGAAAACAGCTGGCTCAGAGCACCAAAGAACAAAGCAGCACCTGGCTCTGGTGTGAAGTGCCCATTCACTCGTTAGTGATCTGTGGCCTGGCCGCTGCTGGGAGTCTGTGCCCTCTGAGGCTTTCTCCAAGGTCCCTGAGTGGCGACAGAGATGGAAGCCCATGTTTGGAGCTGGGAAGAAAACGAGTGGGCCCATGAAAGAGGGGGTCCCTCTGGGATTCATGGTGATCGTGTTGTGGAGGCTGGGAGACAAGACTGGGTGGTGGGCAGGGGTGTAGGGAAGGGAGTCATTGAGTAGTGTCTGAATGCTTTTGCGTAGTGTCCACTTCATGCCAGACAGCACATCCCCACAGAGAGCAAAGGGCTGATGGACAGCGTTGTAGAAACTGCAGGTGTCTGCTGGTGGGCCACCTGGGCGAGGGGAGGGGAGATATGGCACTGCTAACCATGAGCTCGCCCCCTCACCACGCCCTCGGCAACTGGTTCCCACATTCGACCACCTTCCAGGCCTCCTGCTAATGCCCTGGGATGCGGTAATAAATATGATGTTCATGTCCTCACAGGGCATATGGGGCACAGAGGAGGGACCCTTGTTCAGAGTGGGGCTTAGGGAAGACTTCTGGAACAAATAAAAGTCTAGGCTAAGCCGAAACCAGTTTGGCTCAGTGGATAGAGTATCGGTCTGCGGACTGAAAGGTCCCAGGTTCAATTCCGGTCAAGGGCCTGTACATTGGTTGCAGGCACATCCCCCATGGGAAGTGTGCAGGAGGCAGCTGGTGGATGTTTCTCTTTCATCGATGTTTCTAGCTCTCTCTCTCTCTCTTTTCCTCTCTGCGAAAAATCATTAAAATGTATTAAAAAAAAAAAAAAAAGTCTAGGCTAAGCCCTTATGTGTGTGAGAAGGCATGAGCCAGAAGAAAAGTGTAGACCGTGGAGAAGTGAGGCAAGGGGACTGCATAGGCGAAGGCTCTGGGCAAAGACAAGGATGACATGGGGAGCCACAGAGCAGTCTGGCTGGGCCACAGCAGGGAGGAGGAAGGGCACAGGGTGAAGCTGGAGAGGTGAGCAGCTGCTGGGGATAGCAGACTTGTTCTACCTGTCAGGAGTATCACAGTCCTTGGCAGTGCCCTGTGTCTGAGGAGCCGACCGCACAGCCCTGTGTCTGTGGAGCCAACCACACAGCGTAGAGCAGGACAAGAACTGCAAGACGGCCTGTGCCAATTTGGCTCTTTGTCCTGCTCCGATTGGGGCGGGTGGCATCTCAGGGGAGGTCCATGTACTATTATAGAAAGCGGGCAGGAGCGGTTCAGCCTGAGACCACAACTCTAGCTCTCCCGCCAACGGGGCAATTTTGGGCAAATCACTTCAGCTCTCCAGGCTGCCATTTCAGCTTCTGCAAAATGGTGAGCGACTCAGTGAGCTCTGCTACGGTGTCTCCAGGTCTCAGAATATGATTAAAGCAATATTTTCGTTGATTTCATAGAGGAAGGGAGAGAGAGATAGAAACATCAATGATGAGAGAGAATCATTGATCGGCTGCTCTCTTGCCCACCCCCCACCGAGGATCGAGCCCGCAATCAGGGCATGTGCCCTGACCAGTGAATTGAACTGTGACCTGGTTCACAGGTTGACACTCAAGCACTGAGCACACCAGCCGGGCTCTCATAATATGACTTGAAGAGATGACACTTACCTGGAGGGTCTGGTTGGTCCCTGACTCCTGAACGCTGAAGGTGAGTGGCAGTTCAAAGCGTCAGGCTTAGTGACCTACCCTCTCCTCCATTTGTGCTTTGCATTTTGACTTACCCGCTGCTTATCGGGGTCCACAAAGCGGATCCCAAAATAGTCCTTTTCAAGTAGGTTCAGGTGGTGGCAAAGAAGGTCAAACAGGTACTGGCCTTTGGCATCTCTCTGCAAGGAAAGAAGGCTCCATTGAGAAACCAGAGGGCTTCTTCAGTGGGTCATTAAAAACCGTTTTTAACAGCTGTGTGAGGATGTGGGCGGGGCGCCTGTCCATAAGGAGTCCGGAGTTAGGGGAGCCTGGTTCTGATCTCTCACACACAAAGCTTTCTAGGGCATGTCTGTGTGGAAGGCACCAAGAGCAGCTGGCTCTGCCTCTAAAGTGTATTCTCTCCATTACCAACCTCACAGGAGAGGCTCACCGCCATCTCTCAACTAGGTCACAGCCAGAGTCTTCCAACCCCTTCTCTGCTTCTGCTCCCACCCCCTCTCCACACAGTGAACAGGCTGACCACATTTTAGTCTTTTTAAAAAATGTGTCTTTTAAAATGGAATTTATTTATTTATTTATCCTCACCTGAGGGTATTTTCCATTGATTTTTAGAGAGAGTGGAGGGAAGGGGGAAAGACTCAGAGAGAGAAACATTGACGTGAGAGAGACACACATTGATTGGTTGCCTCCCGCATACACCCTAACTAGGGCCAGGATGTTACATGCCCCTGACCAGAATCAAACCTGGGACCCTTCCATCCACAGGCCCATGTTCTATCCACTGAGCCAAACTAGCGAGGTCTGTTTTTAATTTTAGAGAGAGAGGAAGGGAGAGAGGAAAATCAATCTCTGCCTCCTACACAGCCCCTACTGGGGATCGAGCCCACAACTTGGACATGTGCTCTGACTGGGAATCAAACTAGTGACTTCTGTGCATGGGATGCTCAACCAACTGAGCCACACTGGCCAGGGCCACAATTGACTCCTTTTTGCTGAATAAGTGATACAGATACCTAGCAAGATATTAAAACATGCAAAAGTATATACTACGAAGCGTAAGTCTCCTAGTCACCTGTGCCTCAGTTCCCCTCCCCAGAAGAAACCCCTCACCAGGTCCTTATGTACCCTAAGTGTGGTATCACACAGCCTTCCTATATCCACAGGCACCTCCCCTTTTAAAAATACATTGGCAGCACATTGCACTCTATTCTGTTCTTGGGATTTCCCCCATTTGGGGTATCTTGCAAATCCTTCCAAAGCAGTATGAATGGATAAACCTCACAGTTTTGTGTGTGTGTGTGTGTTTTTTTTTTTCTTCTGATAGAAAAATGGAAGCCTCAGATTTTTAACTGCTGCAAACCATGGAATGAACCTAAATTTATCTACCCAGCTCCATGATGACGGAATTTGTTTCTAATCTTCTGTTACAAACAACGTGATAATGAGCACGCAGTGACCTTTATTTCCATCACCACTCCTGCTTCACAGGTCGCTGGCTCCCCATCGCTCTCAGGATAAAGCCCACACTCTGATCTCGGCCTCCAAGGCCCTACAGGACGACCTGGCTCTTGCCTCTTCTCTGAACTCGCCCCAAATCACTCTCCTCTCTGCTCTCTGCAAAGCCTCTCTGTTCCTAAATGTTCCAACGAGGTTCTGCCTCTGCATCTTCTACTCCCTCTGCCCGCACGCTCTTCCTCCAGCTCCTCCCTCAGCTCTTCCCTCACCACTTCTGTCTTTGGGTCTCCGCTCAAATGTGCTCTCTGCAGAGGGGTCCTCCCCTATCGGATGGCCTCTCCCAGCCCCTTTCTATCTCATTTATCCTCCTCATGTCCTTCACGGCTCTTACAGCATCTGTAATTACCCTGTTGATTTGTCTACTTATTTGTTGTCTGTTTACTTTCTAGGCTGTAATATATATATATATATATATATATATATATATATATATATATATATATATATATATATATATATATATATATATATTACTGATTTCAAAGAGGAAGGGAGATAGATAGATAGAAACATCAGTGATAAGTTTGAATCATTGATTGGTTGCCTCTTGTGCACCTCCCACCGCAGATCGAAGCCGAAATCCAGGCATGTGTCCTTGATCACAGTTGAACCAGGGACCCTTTAGTCCACACGTCAACGCTCTATCCACTGAGCCAAACCAGCTAGGGCAGGGGCTATAATTTTTCTGAGGGCAGGAGCCTTCCTCCTGAACTTAGCACAGGGCCTGGCATATGGCAGGTACTAGATCCTCAATAATTATTTGTTGATTAAACCAATGACTGAATGAATAGAAGGTAGAGGGTTAGCTGAGAGTTTTCACAAAATGTGAGAAAATTAGGCCATTTCTAAACCCATAACCTTCTCCTTCAGGGACCTGCTGGGAGGTGGACGGCTCGCAGGAACTGTCAGGACCTCTGGAGCTCTGTGAGCATCTATCTGTGGGCTTGTCCCCAGTGGTCTCCATCTCTGGTGGCTGTGTCTATTTCTGCATGTAAATCGAGGTTGTCTTATAAGATCCAAAGCCTCTCACCTGCGCCAAGGCCCTGGGCTATTACAGGAGGGCCTGGCTCTGGTCCATGAAGATTTACACCTCACCTCTTCCTCTTCTGCTGCCTTACCCCATACTATCCCAGGAGAACTAGGGCAGAGTATCATCTCGCAGCAAAAATCCTCAGAAACTTATCCTTAGAGGACTGGGAGGATGAGTGGGAGGAAGCCATAAAGACCCCCCTCTCTTCTGCTGGCCTCACACTCTCACAACATAATCCTGAGGCCCTGGGCCCCACTCTCCTCCTCCCCACCCCGCCTTTGGTCTCCCACAGGAAAGAGCTACTTTCAGGACAGAGACTTGCGAGGAGTCACACCGGGACACCAACCAGGTCTTTCCAAGGATTCCATCAACAACTGCCATTTTGGGCAGGGGCTGCCAGCCATTTCCTTACTGAGCCCCAGCATGTGGGAAGAGCCTAGCCTCATTGTTAAGGTTCTTCTGGGAGTAGGGGAATGAATTTAATGCTATCCCAAGCGATCATCCTTCTCAGAGCAGCTGAAAAGGAGTATTAAGAGACAGTCTCTAATGGTGAACATTTTTCTCTACAAACTTTACTTTGCACCAAGCTGGGTGCTACCCTGTGCCCAGCTGGGGTGAGTGTTAATAGCTGAAGAAGTTTGCTTCCATACATATAACCACCACATTAGCAGGAGTGCGGGGTGGGTAGGCATGGGGAAAACGTGCTTCTGGGATAGAAATCACATGGGCTTTTCTAAGAATCATGTCTTCCACAAATATAGCTCCCTCTCAGGGGCTGGCAGCTCAAACACACTTATAGTTCTCCCGCTCAGAGGAAGAAAAGGAAGCCGGAAGTTATGAAAACAGACACATCCCATTACACATTCCCTTTATCAACTTTTTATAGAATAGGGATTTTTTTTTCTTGTGATTTCTAAGCATCTGGTGAAACCCCACCAGGAAGTCCCAGTTCCCCTGGGTTTCCATTTCCCGGCGGCAGGTGCATGGTTCTGAGCCGGAGGCTCGGCTCCTGCGTGGACTAGTGAAGAGAAGCACCTTCCTGTGTTGTTTCTCCAGGGTGGGAGGAGGGAGGCGAGGGGAATGGCAGGAGAGGCAGGAACAGAGCTCTGGTTATGGCAGAATTCCCGACGTTTACATTCCCAGCAGGAAAACACAACTCAGAGCCCTGCGTGGCACCTTCGCAGAGGGACGGGAAGACCTGCCACTCTTCTGAGTGCTCACGTCTGAGGCTGGCGGGGTGGCCTCAGGCAGCCTTGATGGGGAGCGGAAGGGGGGGTGACAGTCAGTTGAACCCTCCTGGTGGGCTTCCTAGAACAAGCTGTTGGCAGGGGCAGGAGTTTAGGAATTTCATACCACCTGGCTTTGTGGGCCCCCCTGCATGTCCAGATGCTGGCAGTATCCTAGAACCTCCTCTCTGTGGCCTCCCTGTGCTAAATCCGGGGCTTTCTGGCATATTCTGTGGCAGCCAGTCTTCTCTTTGTTGGATGGCAAAGTCCAGGGAGTTCCATCTTCTTTACCCTTTGCCTCCAGGTGCCCTCACGCTATGGCTAACCCATGTGTTGTGTGCGGAGTGTTGTGTCATTGATCATTCTGGAGAAACAGGCCTGAGCGCCGACAGGTGATCGTTGTATAGTTGCCATGTCCAGGCTCCGGGGCTGAGGATGTTCACGTTGAGGACAAGTGAGGTGAGGCAGAGCTCCCGCACCAGCTAACCTTCGGAGGGGATTCTCTTCCAAAGTCATTATTGGGTCAAACTAACGTATTGAGCACGTTAGAAAGTAAATTGGCATCTTAGGAACCACAATGGCACCCCCACATGAAAGTCAATGCATATAAGTCAGCCCATTCCATTTCTCTTCATGGTGCCCAGAACGATTCAGAGCCCCTAGGAATCATTCTGGAACTCTCAGGTGGGGAGAAGTCCTGCTCTCGCTCCTCCCTGGGGCTCCTGGTTTTGTTTCTCGTGGTTTGCTCTAGGGAAGGGGCTGAGGCAGCAAGCAGTGACCCAAATTAGCCGGTTAATTGCATTTTCTGTCTCATAAACGATACCCTGGGACAGGAGAGCGGTTTTATTTGAACCCCTTAGAGGGTCCATCCCAGGGGTGCTGGCAGGGTGCATCTCCACGAGAGTGGCTAACACGTACAGAGCCCCCCACTCATTAGGCCTCACCTTATTCTATCCAGCTCACCTGTGAGGCAGCCAATGTTAAGAGCAGACTACGTGAGTCTTAAAGAGGGCAAGGGCTAGCCGGACTTTCTCAGTTCCCAGCTCCCTGCTGTTATAGGGGAGCTGGCCTTGGTTTCCTGGGACCTTCGAGAAGGCAGAGGTGAGACGGAAGGCAGGGGACAGTGCACACCTGCAGTCCAAAAGCACAGGAGTCCCAGGAGGAGAGAGGCCTCGCCAGGATGGAGTGGCCAGAGGGTGAGAGCTGAACAAGTTGTCCTCTGATGCTTGATAGGGAAGGGGTGGGCACCAAGGCTGGAAGGGCACTTGGCCTCTATCCTAGCTTACCTTTATATCTAAGTGTCTTTTAGGCCAAGGACTTCCTTGCTTTCCTTACCAATGTCCGCTAAGGGCATGAGTATGCCATGCCTGCCGGGTTCATGCTGTGTAAGAGCATGTTAATGACACAG